CTTATCTTGATGTGGAGTCTTTTATGTAAATGTCATGCTGATGTTTAAAGAGCACTTTCTTCCTACACAGCTGTAAAGTTACCCAACAAAACATTTTAAATCTAAATGTGAAAGGTCAATTTATTTTGTTACACTGTATGTTTTGCTTCGCTAAAATTTGATTTGGTATTTGACAATCGGTAAAATGATCAATTTGACCTGGTTTGATTGTTTCTTCCAAAAGATGCAAGAACATTTCTCTCACAGATTTTAAGCCCTTTAACAAGTAGTATCCTTTTTCATGACACCCCTTATGAGACCATTGAGAACGCAGGCTGTAAACCTCAAGATGTTAATTTAAGCAAAAAATTGACAAATTTAGTATAAAACTGTTACATAAAGTTTAGTCAATGTGTAGGTTCTATTCTACTATTTTCAAGGGATCTTGGTCACTATACCTACACCAAAAAAGCTGGGATGATATTAATAGGACCCTTTTAAAAATGGCTGATGCCATATTTGATATAGTTAAAAAAGCTTAATTTTTTAAAGTGCACTTTGAAAGAAATTATTTGAAACAGGTATTAAGGCCCGGTCCCACTGCACTTACGGATGCAAAGAGGATGTAAAACGGGGGAAAAAAGGTGCCCTCCGTTTGAAAACGCCATGCATCCGTTGTGTACTCATTGCATACGTGTTTCATAAGCTCTATCCATAACGGATAACTTTTATAACGGATGAACTTTCTGCCGTGTCAATGTAAATGCGCGACATATACGAGCACCAAACGTTCCATGTCCGTTATCATCCGTTAAACGTCCACTGTATCCTCTCTGCATCCTCTGAGCATCGTCGCAACTCACATCTGCTCCAGCTGAAAATGGAAAGAGGGAGGAAAGATAAGGTACATGGAACGTCTATACATCGTTATTTGCATGGAAATAGAAAGATGTAAGCGTATGCATCTCGTATATAAAGTTTTCAAAACGGACAAAGCGTTTGTATCTGGATGTATCTGGTATATTGAAGGATGTCTGGAGTTTGCCGGAGCTGTCATCTACTTCTATCCGCTCTCATCCGCTAGGCTTCCGATGAACATCCATTTAACATCCCCGCTACATACTTCCCACGTTCACTCTTTTCCATTCTGTTTTCGCAAATTTTCGTCAATTTTGTCCATTTCTGGAGCGGATGAAAACGGATGGAGCCACCCCCGAAAGTTTGCTCATTCGCTGTGTCCTTTTTGCATACATTTTCTGTCCATCGTCCACTGGGATCAGGCCTTTACATAGAAATTAATGAAACCAACAGGTTTTTGTATGGATGGCATGAGTCATTACAATCAATAACATGGTAGTTTGTCTGGTTATATTTAGAAACAGCATCATAACTTTTTGTCAGCTGATTTTGTTTAGAGCTGTTTAATGATAGTGGCAGGAAGGATAATTGATGGGGCAATCAAAACCCACATGGAGAATTACATAGCTTTATTCTGTGGTTAGAGGCGCCATATGCTTCTATCATTAGTATTGATTGGTAGATTGCCCACTCTTTATTTTGTTGATTTGCCTGTATTCCCTTAGCAGCATGTTAATTATATCTAGAACATAATACAAATGGCATACATTGTTAGCTTTAATTGATTTATTCCATTTTGGCAAGCATTTTGAAGGTTGTGTCAAGAACATGAATATTTTGGTCTTAAAGTTGCATAGTGCAGAATTGTGTGAAAGTGTGAACTATTTTCAGCTGTTCTGTTATTTTTTAGAGAATGTTTTAACAGAAGACAACTCAGAAGTTCTTTTGTTCATTTATTGTATTTTCATACATGTAGCCTTGTTACCGCTCACTAAACTCTGGGTTCCTCTCATGGCTTATCTATTACATGAATTTTCACTTATTATGTTATTAAAAATAAGTGAACACTCTCCCAAGTATCCAATTTTGTCTCTGTTGAAAACGTGTATTTGCTCAATAACTATCAAACGACACTGTCTAATTAACTGTCCACTGTAATTAGTAAATCCTTTCAAATTGATTTATTCATGAACCAAACAATACCTTGGATTTGCAGGATAGACATACAAAAAACTGTGATTTAGAGATTAATAAAATAATTGTGAGGAGATTAGGTCAGAACATAGCGAATAGTTAAAAGAACGGGGGTGCCCGTGAACTGACAAACTAGGTGCTGGCTTTGGTTCAGAACTCATTGTTATATATAACATTAACTTTTCAGTCCTGCTATATAGAGAAGTAACATCAAGAAAAAGCATCAAGATGTTTGGATTAAATTGAAAAACAAGCTTACAGTTAATCTGATTTTGGCTGAGCGACATTTCCCATGAGAGACATTATCGTTTATCGTTTATTGATCTTGAAGTTGAACCATAACATACATGTATCTTGTAACAAAAATGATAGCATAAGTATTGCAGTTTGGTTTGTTACCTTACTTATATATGTATTTCCATGTAAGCAACAATAGAAAAAAGGACTCACTAGGTAAATGATAAGTAAAGAAAACAAAATATAGATATAAGTAACTAAATATTTAATGCAGTTTTAATACTAATATTAAACAGTATAGGGTGTTGAAAACAGACAATGAATAAAAAAAATGAAGCAACAGGATAAATCAACTCTGGGCTTTTTATGAAAAAGCTGTTATATGAATGGGATATTACCCAAATAAATACGTAACTAATGAGTTTTCACACAGTCTCATATGCAAGGAAACAAACCTGGTAGTCAGGTATCGAGGCAATCTTTGACATTGGTACATATAATATAGATATGTATTTCAATGGATATGCCACAGGCAAAAATTTTGCAAATACAAATATGGTTTTATAAATGACTGACATATTGTGCTCGACATGTTGAACCAGATGTAGAATTAGTACAGGGAGAGGTAAATGATGTATAGTACTTTTCAATAACAAACTCAACCTTTTCATTTATATGTCATAGATAAATAGCAAAACTTAATGACCAACCACCACATCCAACTTTACTGTTTATAAGACATGGAACTCAGTATCCATTATATCAAGTCTTAATTAATAAGTGCTCTGTTGACGAAAGTCATAATATTTAATGGCTAACACAGAAGAATAAACACAAACTCGATTCCATAACAAGACCTAATGATATTCTTGTAGCAGACGACACTAATGTTGACATCGTTTCAATATTTACCCACACTGTCAGTCCATGTCCGATAAAATTTCTGGCTTTTAGGACAATTGTTGATCTAGTGGATTAAGCGATGGAGGGACATGGTGTAAGGTGTCGCATGAATTAGTAGTACACAAACCCACTACCTCCATACATTCTTAAACCAAAATATTTTGCTCATTCTGCTTAGATTTTATCAGGTGAAGTTCTTAATATTTCATGTGTCTTAACTTTAAAGATAGATTAATGGTAGGTTTTGTTTTTATCTTTTTCAATTTTTTTCATCTAGTTTGTCTTAAACTGTTTACATTATTCTTGGAGCGTAAATGTGATCACTTAACAATTGTCTGTAGTGAAAATGAAATGAAATGGGGTTTAACGTCCTGCTCCGACTGAACTAATGAAGATGGGCATACGCCATACAGTGTGCTATGCGGGAAATTTTGCCTGGGCAACGGCACTATCGCCTACTCTTATATCGAATTCTAACTGCCAAGGGATCTTTTATGTGCACACCAATGTATGCATGGGTCCTCGGTTTTTCGTCACATCCGAATGACTAGACAGCTGTCCTTGTCAGGCGCTCCGTCCTGCACCTCTGACAAGGGGAGACCACTCTGGAAAATCCTGATGAACTTTCTCGGCCAATGCAGGGATCGAACACGCAACCTTCAGGCTAGCGAGCCAGCATCTTACCCAATTAGCCACCATGGCTCCATGTCTGTAGTGGAGTAACACACCTGACATTGTAAGTTGAATAATATCAAAAATATTTTTATTATGTATTATTGGTTCAGATCAGACTCTTTCAGTGTCAGCTGAAGAGAGGCCCTAGGCTGTTCAATTTGTGAACCCTCTCCCAATCCCCAACTCTCACGACAAGATGAGGATGCAAGAGTGTTCTGAACAAAAATTAGTAAAGCTGAGATTGATGATGGGTGTTTAAGATTACAGTGCCTGTAATAAAGGCCAATGACAGTGTCAAAACTTTTATAGATTTTGAGGCCCTTTGCTTCAACCTACCAAGCCTATAGAATAAAGTTTACAAAAAAACTGTTGGAATCTTGTTGTGTATTTTGGAGGATAGGGCCAGATTCCCTCCATTTGAGCTGTCAAATAAATTAGCAGACACTCCCAATAACTGACTGAATAAATGATGTTTTGCAGGGTGCTGTATGCATCCCCAACCATTAAGTATTCTTTAATAATAAGTGTAATTATTTTAAAAAGTTGATGCATCAATAAATGGGATACTGGTAGTTGAACAATTTTAATAGATATGGATGTCATTTCTTAAATCAGAATCTGTCTGCAGACCAGAAATTTATTGACCACCATTTTGCTTGTACTAATTCAACCCCCTCTAATAAATAATATAAAATTAATAAATCATCAGTTCACATTCTTTAGTTTGCATTCTATTCGTATTGATACTTATTGGTATGGCTTAATACCATAGCAACATTTAAACAATCTTCAAAGCGCTTTTATGTACCAGTACTTAAACAGATTTATGTTGTGTGGCTTATAAAATTTTTAATAAGCCTGTTTGCAATAAATTATGATATTGACCACAGTGGTATGTTAACTACATACAATATTAATCCATCCACCACTTTAACCAGTGGGTATTCTACAAATTAAGCAGATAGTAATTAACATAGGATAATTAAAGTGCCCTTAAGGTGATGTATGTAAGTTTATGGGTGTACATAACAGGAAGTATAGCTTGAGAAGTAGTTATCTAAAGGAAACAGTAATATCGAGTCTGTTGTAACTTTACCTCATCTTACTTTCTTCTCAAATATTTTACATTTATTCTCAAATCCTGCAGAGAAATGACGAATCTGCTCTCTAAATTTGTAATTTGAGAGTTTGTTTTCAAAAAAACACTGGATCGAATTTCTATGCTAGCATGCGTTTTAAAGATAATTGTTCAAGGATGTAGTTTATTTGGAAGTTAAAAAGTGCGCCAACACAGTGTGACAAAGATCTCCAGAAAAGACAAGACTTAGTATTTAGTATTAGAAATAGTTTTTTTTTCTATTTGTGTTATGGATTAAGATTTTCTTTAAATCAACTTCATACACCAGAATGTGTAAAGTTTGTGGTTGGAAGCAGGTTTTTTTGTTTGAACTGTTTTAAAAATATGCAGACAAAGACGTACCTTTGTTGATATCATACCATTTGTGAAAAAAAACCTTCAATTTTTGGTGGTAAATTATTTTTAAAATCAATAATAAAAAAAGGTTATCAGGAATTTTAGTGTGTTTCTTTTTCATAGTGTGAGACGGCAGTAAATTGAAGAATATCTTGTTTTGTGTGCAGATGTCTTAATTGTGTAAATTCGTATGCTTGTGTCTAAAAGAATACTTGTCTGGTACAGGATAAGAATGCAGCTTTAAAATTTGCCTTTTGTTAGCAAGTTCTGGTGAAGAAAGAGAATCAGGAGACAAATTTACAAATATAAATGCTCTTAGGATTATTTACTGCGATACCGGAGTTATATACGCCAGAAAAATTTAACTCATTTTGGCGGTAAATTCTTGATAAATGCATCAAGATTTAAAAGCTTTGTCTGGTTTGATTCTTCCGTGAATTTTATTTACTGCGACATTGAAACTGTGTCCGTTTGTTTTTTCGTACATGTAGATGTTTTATTTAAGGAGACTGAGACTTTCTATTAGTTCTTTTTATTGTCACCCACGACCAGATGTTGTCTTTGATAGAACCTGAACAGGATCAATAAGTTTAACAAACAGATCTATTTTGCAAACTGCTGTGATGACGTTATGAAAAGGCTGTACACTTTTTAAAGCTGAAATTAATCAATAATCATTTCATTGTCTGTTCCCTTTTATGAGACAACCCTTTATTTTATGTCATAGTAACACAGCCAACCATTTCATAGTGTAACCTGGAGTTATATCTTTGTTTTCAATCTTGTGTTGTGTGCTGAGATTGAGTATAATTGTGTGTATCTTACATTCAATAATATATGGATTAATGAAACATTAAGTTGATTAACTGATATATTAAAAAATAACAATGTCAGTAAGTAGTGAAGAGGAAATATTTTGTGAACATTATCCCATAACTAGAAGAGTTGTTAAAGTGCTAACGGTAAGAACCATGTGTTATGTTTTTTACATTTCTCATCCATGCGTGACTAGCTTTCAACTCTTTCATAAGAATGGTTAGAAAATTATTTACACAAATGAATGGAAAATCATTGCTAGGATGACAAATTAATAAAATATCAATATTTTTGAATAAAATCATTGATGAATGATTGGGTGTCTGACATATTAATTTGTTTGTAAACTAAACACAAAGAAACAGAGGTCAGAGAGTTTTGCATTGTATTGTTTGTATTCTGATTTCGTCTGTAATTTAAGTTTAACATTAGCCCTGAGGAACCCAGTCATCATGCTATTGTCATTAAAGTGTGACAACAGAATAATGACAGAACTTATCTGACCTGCCATTATGTCACTCTACCATTACTCCATATGGGTCACAGCTTAAGTTATACATGTATCATTGACAGTGGCATTAGTAGAAACCATATGCATCTTAAGGGTATAAGGTAATCTTGCCTGAAGGATGTATATATATATAGATCATATAGATTATAAATTTTTTTTTAACTAAATATACATTGTTCAAAAACGGAAACTGTTATCTGAATTTTTTCTTTGGATGTTTAAAAATCAGCAATTTTTCAACTAAAGCAGTGGACACCCTAACCGAGTCCTTGGCCACCGAATGAGTGGACACACCAACCAGGTAAATCTTTCACTCGATTTACCAGTCGATTGCATCTCCATTCACGTCACATGATTAAAAATGGCAGCGATCAGTGGTGATTGGCTAATGAATTCTACAATCGTGCAAATGCTTCGGCGAAGTAGACACACTAGGCAAATAAATCAAACATGTTTGAATCAGGCCGAATGAATCGGCTAGTGTTTCCACCATTTTAGATCAAACTGATTTAAATTTCAAAAGGATTTGCTCAGCGTCACACTGGAATTTAATGTAATAAAAATTGGTTTCATCAAATCACTATTGTAATGCTTATATTGGGTTATCAATCTGGTTGAAATATAGTCAGTTGTGCAACTTTTTTTTTTTTTAGTGAAAATGATACTTTTTTTGTTTTTTAATGCTATAGTGATCGCAAGACAATTTTTGCTAATTGCTTAAAGAATAAATGAATTAGAATTCAATATTGGTCCATTTCAATCAATAGTGAAAATATGGGGTCCTAATAGACTAAGCAGGCGCAAACAACTGTTGTTCTATTTGGACTGTTTATGAATTAAAATAATCATTTTATATACATGTACATTCATATTACATTAATATATATGCTTTCAGACCCATTGCCGACTTTTCGTCTATTTTAAAGTTCTTAAGAATAGGGGCATATATATCCTTTAAGATTTGGTCTTGATTAACATCTTAGTCTATATTACATTTTGAATTTAAATAATCGATTGATAGTTATTAATGCGTTTTAAAATTTAATTTCAAGTGTAGAAATAATTGATTTAAATTGTGTTCTATCTGAATCTCTTGAAGATTTAAGTATTTTCATAGGAGGTTGTATTATATATCACAAGTATCGTGATTTATATAACAGGAACTTGATGAATTATTTTATCTACTTAATGACTCTCCTTCAATTCCTGTTACTTATTTTACAAGTGTTTTATATTTAAGTGGGCACCATATAAATAAAAAAAAAACACGGGAAAACATATATTATAATGAAAAATTTGATATAAGAGCAAAATAGATGTTGCATTTGTCTATTGAACTTTTAGTAATCATTTTTTTAATCGGAGTTTGAAGCAGTTGTTTTAAAAAGTATTAGTATGATGTATTTTTGTGTATTTATTGCCCATAATCTTAATCTTATAAATCGTAAGTCAGTTTATTTCCCCTTAAACTGGGATATTTTAGTCATGATATCGACAAGTTATCAAAACTTGAAATTTATTTTTTCATATTTGATTAGAAAGATTGACAATCATAATACTAACATATACAGATACACCAGAACTGATTTTCCTGAAAATTTGAAGTGAATTATCTAATTTACTTGCAATGATCTGTACTTTGTAAAAAATTTGAATGTGAATAGTGTTGATTAATTGCATCCTTGACATTTCTAATTGTGCCTAGAAGAACACATTTAATTCCTAAAAATATCATATTATTTTTCTATCAGGTCCAGTGATTATTCCCATCATAGTTCCTCCTTGTTAGCGGTATAGCACGGATACGGAGGACCTGGTGGATTTTACGATAGACTGAGGTCCTGTGTACAAATTGGCATGCACGTAAAAAGAACCGTTGACATTTCGAATTTAAAATAAGAGTAGGTTGTAGTGCCACTTTCAGTACAAAACTCCCTCATAGCCCATTGTATGGCATATGCCCATCTTCATATGTCGACTTATTTATTACATGTATTTTGTTATATTTTTCAGGATCATGATTTACAACAAAAGATTGATCATGAAATCAAGATGCGAGAAGGAACAGCCAAACTATTGGCAGCATCGAAACATCCAAACCAAATGTTGGAAGCCGCTAAAAACCTCTTATCTTCAAACACAAGAATTATTTCCTACATGACAGAATTACAGAAACGTAAAACAGCCGAAGTAATGGGCAAAAATATGTAAGTTAACAGTGCATTTATACTCTCACATTTCACATGCATCCATTCCATGTTACACTTAAAGATACATTATGGGAGATTTTAATAGAGAGTTGGCCATTCTTGCTATAACAGTTTAAAAGTAGATGATGAAAGAAAAATATATTGAAAATTTCAGTCAAATTACTTTATTCTGAACATAGTTATCATCGTTGTAATATTTGACTAGAAATGGTAGTGAAATGTGCCTTCACCTTAGCCGATCGTTTGACTGACAGGCGTTAACTCCACCTACGTATCTCGATTATCAAGTAAAGTTTTCAATGGCCTGCGGAAACGCTGTACAGCGGCCTCGCTAAGTACACTCTATCATTTAGCCTCGATCTAACTGACGTATTCTCATCAGGATGCGCCATATTTGAATTAATTAATAAGTGAAATCCTATTTAAATCCGAGCTGTAGCCGAGCCATCTGTGGGTCTACAGAGTTGATTTTGGGCTTGTTGTTTAAATAAAGATCTAATTTATAATTTCTATAACATCTGAAGCCTAAATTAAGACTTGCAATAATCAGATTTTGCTCTTGCATAATGTATGTTTAAGTGATCTAAACATCATCCATATACAGCTGTGTTAAAACATTTCCAATTTCAAAAAACATCTTTTATAAATAGCAATTTATTGTAAAATATAGAATCTGCTTTCATATACATATTGTTAGAAAAAACTGAGTTAAAATTAGACTGTTGCCCTTTGGCTTGATTGAATCCTACATTTACAGTGTAAATGATTTTTTCATACTACTTGATTTGCTACCAAAATAATTTCTGCCAAGTTTATTTATTTGGTCTATATTTGATTTCTGCTGTTAAGTAAAAGTTTATTGCCAACTGGTTCAATTTGCACCAAAATGTGTTGTATCTCAAGTCGGCAGTCAGTCACCACCCATGTAGTACCTCTAGGCCATCATGGGAGTGTTTATTTAAATAAATATGATGGATTTCTGATCTACTCTCACTATCCAATTTCTAACAGGAAACCTGTAAATTAGAGAATAGATATTTTGATGTTTTCCAGATGTTCTACAGATCTCATGTTTTCTGATAAACAGATCTGAACTATTAGAGACCTTTTGTCTCTGCATGTCTTAATACAAAGATTATTAACTGATGAACTTCACATAACATCTGTTTTACATGTTATTTTTTAATTAAAGTTAAAGGGGCAAGACGAAATTTCTCACCATAAATGAAAAAAAAGTACTGGAATCAAATTCAAAAATGTATAAACTAGCCCATTTACCTTCTCTTAAAGCATTGTGCCAAATCAAAGCATCTTTACGTTTCACTGATAAAAATTTTCTCCTTCCATTGATTGCACATATCGTTACATGTATAGAAATAATATTAGTCTCACGATGACCTGGTAAAATGTCAACAAGATGTTAAACCTCATTCTATTAACCTATTTTCAATGTTGATGTTTTCAATCTAATATTCACAAATATGCCATTTGAACTACGTATTATTGTAAAAATTTGTTTGATACCTTTTCTATTATATTGATTTGTAAGGTTTTAGGAAAAAAATTATATGTTTTCAAGTGTTCTGTACCCTTTTTTTTAAAGATACTTACGCTTTAGCCGGCAATGGCTTTTTTAAAAGCTAGTAGTGAAAAACATATCTATTGATAAATTTGATTTTCTTTATCTTTTTAAAGTATATTTAACTTGCCAAATTTTATCACTAGTATCTTCTTAATGCAGACTTTTGCTGCCAGCTTTTTGAAAATACTGACTTGTGAAAATATTTTATGAGTTGAAATGTTAGTATATATAAGTATTTTTATATTACAGGGCTGTAGAGGGTAATCAGTTACCATGTAGAGCTACTGTTAGTTTATCAGATTTAAGAATACCTCTCATGTGGAAAGATACTGATCACTTTAAAAACAAAGGAGGTAAGTAAATAACGTGCCAACAAATATCAGCAATATTTATTTATCTATTCTTATAGTATGTGCAGGAGAACTGCACTACACACAAAACACACAAGATAAACCGTGTGAATTAGTCCTGGGGCCAACTTAGCCCCCACTGTGCTGTACAGTCTCGGGCCTGTAATAATACAGGCTTCACTCAAAATGGAACCAAAAAAAAAATGATTTACAAGAAAGACGTAATTCGCCAGATCTTGATCAAAAAGAAATTTGATAGTCCATGAAAACCAGCAAAATTACTACTATACTAATTATGAAGTGAATGCCTTTAATCTAGCAATTCTAAGAAAGTGTAATCCTATTTGTAAGAAATACTGGACTGAAGGCTGCTATTTTTGGTCTACATAAAGAGTTGAAATTGAAGCTGATAGTCTTGATTAGTCTGGTCAAAGTCTATTATTTCTTGGAAATCAATAAATTTTGCTACTTTACAACTATACCAGAATCCCTAGACAATGATGTCGGTACCAACATGATATAGTGTTAATTTCCTCATTTGTCGTGAATACAGCACCCACCAAATTATTTCATACATAACTCTGGGATTTCTTGTAGTTGAACTGTCAGAGCACTGGACATGCAACTAGAATTTCCCAGGATTCAAATCTTGACATGGGCTGAAAGAACCTTAAGGATTTTTTCAAGCCCAACCGCCTCCTTTTAGAGGTGGTGCCTGAGAAACTGTCAAAGGAAGATGGATAGGAAACAACCTGTGACAAAATGAAGAACTCATGACAGTTGAAAATCAATGAAGAGTAGATGACAATACCCGGGCAAAATTCTCCTACATCGCATTGCACACATAACTATAGAATTAAGAAATGAAAATTACCATCTTGTCTCAATATGAGTGACCGCAGTATTGAGTTGACAATACCACATTGAAATTCAACTATCTTCAAGAAAATCAATGTAATCAGTTTATTATTAAAAATAATCTTAGATTAACGCTCGCTATTATTAAGATTCCAAGTAATAACTTAACTATGATAATGAAATTTGCATATCCATGTTAAATGCCTTGAAAGAAGACAAAACAACAATTTATGTTTCGAAAAATTATGTGGAAGTTAGCTTATTTACTAAAATTAAATTTTGACTTACTGTGTTGACATAAGCTCTATATACATCTATAGATGTTAAATTTTCAATGAATACATATTATCACCCCACAAAACAAATCAATATATATACAATCCAATAAAATTGACATTTAAGTTTTTACCAAGCTCAGAGAGAACTAACAATTTTAACGATATGGTATAATTGCAATTACTTTTTTGCCAACACACAAAGATTGCCACATAACTATTTCTCACAAAAAGTATTTTTGTATTGTTATTTACAGATTATAGAAGATATGCTGTGTTTTGTTTATTGAAGATAGGTACAGAGATATATGATACATCTATGATAAGTAATGTTGATCGAAGTATGACAGATATTACATTTGATGATATCATTGTATTGTAAGTATATATATAGCATTGTATAATCCTGTCTCCGTTATAAACAAAATGGTCTTATAATAACCATTTAGGTTAAAGCCAACAGTTTTTCTCATCAACTACTTAATAATTATATAATCATAGTATACCTCCCCTCTAGGCCACCCATAGGACCTTTAGAAATAATAACAGTACATTTATAGAGAACTTGAAATCAGAGATAATGTTCTTCCTGTATGTCAGTAAATAGCTATGCATACTACAGACATCAACAAATAAAAATAAGACATGCAAACAAAATTCCGAAACTTGAAGATAATTTGTTCATGCGGGTAAACCACATACACCACAAAGAAATGACATACTATTACAGTTATAAATTTTAACTGTAAGGACATTTATTCACATGACTGAACCACCGGTATGATGAAGATGTCATTTACAGGCTGAAAATTATCTTGGGAGTCCTAAAATTCTTACAGTTGCAAATGGAAACACTTCAGCTATTACGTGCCAAGCTTTTGTGAATCTTAATCCAGCTCTGACTTATGTAATCAGTTTTGCGAGGAGTGTATTCATTACCTACAATGGTGTGTTTCATCTTAAAGAAAAAAAAGAGAAAAATATTTTAAGATTTTACTGTGGCAGATCATCTATATAGAGTGTCACATCCGGCTTCTGAATACTAGTGCATTCTGTGAAATCCGTCAGTTTCATGTCCCGATTTATTTCCTTATTACTTCAACCAAAAGTGTTTTTGTACACCCACATTGAAATGTGGTCGTATATTGTTGTCGCCCCCGTCCGTCCGTCCGGCGTCCACAAACATGTATATAGCTCTATAGGCTAAAGTTAATATCCGATTGACTTTAAATTTATACACAGTGTTTAAGGTCACGAGACAAAGAAGCCTAATGATTTTCAGCGATTTTTGATAATTACTGCCAGAGTTATGACCCTTGATCACTTCAAAAAATCTTGTAGATGCTCTAGAGGTCAAAGTTAATATCCGATTGACTTTAAATTTATACACAGTGTTTAAGGTCATGAGACGAAGAAGCCTATTGATTTTCAGCGATTTCTGATAATTACTGCCAGAGTTATGGCCCTTGATCACTTTGAAAAATCTTGTGGAAGCTCTAGGGGCTAAAGTTAATATCCAATTGACTTTAAATTTTTACACAGTGTTTAAGGACATGAGACGAAGAAGCCTATTGATTTTCAGTGATTTCCAATAATTACTGCCAGAGTTATGACCCTTGATCACTTTGAAAAATCTTGTTAGAACCTTGTGAACCCTCAAACGACGAAAATTATAATGTCATCTGTATTAAATTCCCCTAATTACCTACAAAAGAATAAATATGTGACAACCCTTGTCGACTGCTCGGACAATTTAGCTGCTGTGGGCGTATCTTTTATTGCCTGGCAACCTATCTTTGAGTAATTTGTATTCTGAATATTACGAATTATGACATAAGTCAGCGGTCATGTCCAACGATTTGCATTGAATTAACATTGTATAATCCGGCCTTCAATCTGTCAGTGTTCACCTAGAAAAGATTTACAAGCAATCACCAATCATTATCTGTGAGATTAATACTCATGTCAGTCTTTGTTGAATACCTTGATATCAACATGATGACACACAAGTGGTTTCAATATCAAAGCCTTTAAGACTTCGGCACAACTCGGCCTTCTATGAATATAGGGTACCCCAGTCTGCTGAAGTTTGTCGAAGTAACCTTTAAATGAAATGAAATGAAATGGGGTTTAACGTCCTACTGTTCTGCTCCTAACCTGGGCTAATGAAGACGGGCATACGCCATACAGTGTGCTATGAGGGAAATTTTGCCCGGGCAGCGGCGCTACGGCCTACTCTTATATCGAATTCCAACTGCTAAGGGATCTTTTACATGCACGCCAATGTGTACACAGGACCTCGGTTTTTCGTCCCATCCGAATGACTAGACAGCTGTCCTTGTCAGGCCCTCCATCCTGCATCACTGACAAGGGGAAACCACGCGGGAAAATCCGAATGAACTTTCTCGGCCAATGCAGGGATCGAACACCCGACCTCCAGGCTAGCGAGCCAGCGTCTTACCCACTTAGCCACGTGATCCCTCAAAGGAACCATTAAATATAGGGGCGAGGGTGTTAATGTTGATCTCGATACCGTTGAAGAATTCAGCATGCGTATTCTGTCTATTTAGTATTATTGAAGGGTATTCTCCTGAAAACACTTTGAATTGTGATGAAACCATTTTTTTTGGAGCATTACCCAACCGATCACTGTGAGAAAAAAATGTGACGTAAATATTACATTTTTGCCATCAAATACATACAACCGAAGAAGATTTTACTTGCGGTATTCGAAGGTACAATAATCTGACATATTTAAACAATCCTGTGTAATGTCGGATGTAACGATCCTGTGCGATGTCGGATGTGACACAGTCCACTGTACTGATCTAAAAATAAAATCATAAGCATTATGCCCGTCTTCATTAGCCCAGGTTAGGAGCAGAACAGTAGGACGTTAAACCCCATTTCATTTCATTTCATAAGCATTATGAATGTTTAGAAAATATTTAATGTAATTAAGATTAAATATTCACAATGTTTGTGAGGCTCAGTAATTAGAAATGAACAATGTATTCTTTTGATGGGTTATCTTTCAGTAATAATATTCCACATGATTTTGATGTTTTATTTCTCAGTAATAATATTCACTAATAATATATCACATGATTTTGATGCTTTATTTTTCAGTAATAATATTCCACATGATTTTGATGTTTTATTTTTCAGTAATAATATTCCACATGATTTTGATTGTAAAGTAGAAGTTTTTTGTCACAAATTACACGAAGATCTTTCCATGGCTAACACACCAAAGAAATTACGGAAAAAAATAAACGATCTCTCAGGTTCAGTTGGAAGAAGTGTTGGAAAACGTCTTTCGGGTTTGGTAAGTGCATAGAACTATTTATTATTGCAGGTTCGATCAGCTCTTGTCATGGTATTATTTTTAGTACACAATGTACATATAGGTGTTGCTTTGTGTTCTTTCTTCTCATTTGATAACAATATACTCCAGTATTTTCATTATGGCAACAGAATTTTAGTTTATTGGGTGAAACAATATCGTGGTTAAAATTTTATTCTTTTGTTTTGCAGAATGATGCAGATATTATTGGAAATATGGTTTTGTAAGTGTTTTAGTATTTGTTTTTACTTGTAATTATCATTTTTATACACCCACATTGAAATGTGGTTGTATATTGTTGTCGCCCCTGGTCGGCGTCCAAAATTGCTTGTGGAGGCTCTAGAGGATAAAATTAATATCCGATTGACTAAATTTATACACAGTGTTTAAGGTCATCAGATGAAGAAGCATAATGATTTTCAACGATTTCGGATAATTACTGCCAGAGTTATAACCCTTGATCACTTTGTAAAATCTTGTGGACGCCCTAGAGGCTAAAGTTAATATCTGATTGACTTTAAATTTATACAAAGTGTTTAAGGTCAACAGACGAAGAATCCTATTGATTTTCAACGATTTCCGATAATTACTGCCAGAGTTATAGTCCTTGATCACTTTGTAAAATCTTGTGGACGCCCTAGAGGCTAAAGTTAAGTTTAAGGTCTTTAGACGAACAAGTATATTGATTTTCAATGATTTTTGATAACTTGAAAAGATAAATCCATGATATTAAATGTTTCGTGTACTAAACATTAGTATGGACCAAACAAATTCAAATGATTTTCTGATAATTACTTAATGAGTTGTTACTCTTAATCAGATTTTAGTGTAGTATAAATGTTTCATTACCGACAAAAGTAATAATGTGCGACCACTTTTATTGACTGCCTGGATGATTTAGCTGCAGTGGGCATATGTTTCTTTGCCTGGCAACCTATCTTTATTAATGACACTTGTTAAGGTTTACATCTTACCATATTTGTTCTTTCTTCATTTTCCAATTTGCACATTTTTGCTCACATTATATCAACATAACTGGATATGTTTTAAGTTAGACTGGTTTTGCAATTTCTCTTGAAAGTTGATTTTTTTTTTCAGAGGACCGAAGTTTGAAATGGTGGCCAAAGGTAGTTTGTCTCTAACAGATGTAGATGATTCAGTTCGAACATTTGATTTAACACTTGAAACAACATCAGGTAGAAAACTTGTTCCATATAATAATAATCAGCTGTTATAACATTTTCCTTGAAAGTATATCATTACTATCTTTAAAAATAGACAAAAGGAGTCATCTTATAGATTGCTATATTTGAACTATCTCCTGTCATAATGAATGATAATAGGAAGCATTTTTAAATAATAAGTGGTATTAGTACTGTACTAGAATGAAACCTGGTTTAGTGTTCATTCATGTCTATTTGAAGAATTTGATTGAAATCAAGATTTGTGGTCTAAGGGGAGACAACTCTAGAAGGGATAACTCTTTGGAACTGTTGGTCATTTTTCTTGACATTTATTTACTGATTACATGAAATTAATATATTAATCATGATGTTGTTTATATTTTACAGATGGTACTATACATGAGCTTCCATTATTTGGACATTATTGTTGTAGATTAGCGGCCTTACCTCTTTGTTTAGTTGAACCTACAGTTACTGGCTTTTTAAACTTACAGGTATATTTATAATTATTATTATTGTCTCAATTTTAAATTGTTAAATTTTTATTGAACATGAAATGAAAAAAACCTATATATCAAATTCTCTTGAAAAGATAGAATATACTTCAAATTAGAAATCATATATGGTGCATAAAATGTATTGTATATTATAATTAAAAAATTTAAATGTGTATTGTATATTATAGCAGGATGGTGAAGATGATGTATCTAAATGGAAGCGATATTGGTGTGTTCTAAAAAATCTACAACTAGCTTGTTGGTCATCACCAAATGACGTAGAAGTTACTCAACCTTTAGTTGCAATACCAGTCACAAAGGTCAGTCTCTGATCAGTTAGAATATGCATGTCTCCTCTAGTAGAACATAAAGTATGAAATGATAAATAAGCGATGAAAGTATTGCCCAACTTAACCCTCAAAACAGACAGTAATCAGGTGTGATTAATCAAGGGTATTAATAACATACCAATTGTTTCCTTATCTGTTATTTGTTCATCCGCTTCCACCTAGGGTGATATTGCAGACATATTTATTTGTAGGAAACTTGGAAGAGGAGCCAAATGATAGGCTCATCTTGCATAGGTGGGAAAGTGATTAGGAGGCCTATTCGATTCCATTTCCTTTGTGGCTTGCATAGGAGGTCTATTCGATTCCATTTCCTTTATGCCTTTTAAGAGGTAGCGTCCAAGGTGGGTTTCATCCAAAATCGTTGCTCCCGGTACAGCTTCATTAATGCCTTTATGGTCGCCTTAATTTCATAATCCATTAATTCTAGGTCTTAAAATCTGTAGTTGACTAAGACTGATTGTTATTGGAGTATATTTTGTTATTTTAGAGTACACAGATCTGTGATGCTGATCCTACAACCAGTCAAAGATCTCATACATTCCATATAAAAACAACAGATATACATGGTATAACTCAACATACATTAGCAGCTGATTCTAAAGATGATTTAAGTCAATGGTGGGATGGCTTTCAACAACATTTACTTGACCAAGGTATACACATAGCGTTGTAGCGTTAAATAATTTAAAAGTCTTCATTTTCTACATGCAACTAGTATATATATGTAACGTTATATTAATCAAATTTAGTGTTCTTTACAAAGCGATTGAGAACCAACCATTGATTGTTGATTGGATTGTTAAATACTTTCCAAGGCCACTCATGTTTTTAATAATCTAGCTTTTTCTAGTTGTAAAAAATTTTTCCTATTGAAATTGGAGCGTACGTCTCTAATTACAGTATGTTGTTATTTTGCTAACAAAGATTGTTTTCATATTTTGAGCCTTGTTTTGAATGCTATAAAATATGTTTAATCAAAGGGGCACAAACATTGTACAAAATACATGGTTCAAAAGGACAATAAAACTTGGATGCAACTTTTGGAAATTGACAAAATGTTTGAATTAAATTAGATTTTATTGTTGGAGTTTGACATTGTAAATCGTAAATTATTTCTTGCACAATGATAATTAATATTATATTATTTTAATTTTTCAGCACTTTGGAAACATGCAGTAGAATATCCTATGGATGTTAAACAGTCTTCCGTACGAAGATCATCTGTGTTTCAACGGAAAAGCTCAATATATGATGATACTCCATTAATAGGTGGGTTTTAATTTCAGTATATTTAATTCATTGATCTGACATTTGTAATCTAAATAGAAAACTGAATCAACATATATTATTTTTCATAAAAGAACTCTTTGAAATGAAGATATAACTGTTTAGTTTCTAGTGTAACATGAGTTGGAAGGATTTTCAATAAATTATTTTTTTTCCTGAGGAATGATATAGGTATTTATATACAAAATGATAGATCCTTAAATGTATATCCATCGGAACTGTCACAGACCAATAAATACTCCATTTGATCCTAGACTTTGAGGTGGTCTTTCATTAGTTCATTTGAGAATTTACTGTCAACTCTAGTTTCATTTTATTTTTAAACACACACTACAATTTGGTTGTTTAAGCTCAAAGAAGGATAATAATTCTTATTTCTTTTTTGTTTTTAACAGAACCACCAAAAAGAAGTAGCTTGGTTGATTTAAAAGTTGAAGATGATCAATTAAATAAGATGTTACATACATTAATGGGAGAACAGAAAGAAATACGAGGAAGTGGAACGTTTCGTCAGAATTCAACAAGCTAGTCCTTTATTATAGTGTAATATATAATTCATTTCTGTGTATGTACTGTATATAGCGATCATGTGATTTTATCTGCATAGTATGTAGATTAATGTGAATGCATCTGATTTAAATAATCATGTTGTTATTAATTATTATTTTGCTGAATAATAATGGAATTTATGCTTTAATTTAAAGTTATAGTGCATTTTGATAATGATAGCATTTAAGACTCACATAGCATTTAAAACAATTAGTATCGTGTTTGACTATCGCATGATGCTATTTCTAATTGATTCTGTAACCTGTGTGCTATATAGACTGACATCAATGGTGAATTGGAAATGACATTTTGTTTTGTAGGATGAAATTTAAAAATGAGATAAAAATGAAATGTGCTATATTAATTTTTGTACATAATATTCAAAATCTTTTGTTAAGTAGGATCAAACTATAGAACAAATGATATGAAGATTACTTTTTGAATTTTCAATTTAAGTTTTTAACCTTTACTCTTGACTGTTTTAACATGCAAAATAATTGTTTCTAGATGACTGTCTTTGTCTTTTAAGGATAGTATTAAATTTGACAATTTAGAGGATTTCTTTAATTTGACTAGATTTCTGTAAAATATGTGTATTTTTAAAAGGAATACTGTAGATATGTAAAATATTCAGATTTGATTTAGGACGTAAGTTAATATTGGTTCTTGTTGAATTTTTGAAAAAAGTTATATATGTATGTTATAAAAATAAAAATGAAATAAATACTGGTATCAACTGTTAAAACTGCTCACAATCTTAACATTCAATCTTAATACATTTTATACATCATTTTTTTAAACCTTTTGTTTGGTTAGAAATTTGATTTTTTTTTTAAAAACAGATTATTGTGCCAATAATTTTATCCACATTGTATTTGTATCCGATCATTGTTATCAGACGTAAAATACTGTAATACATTTTATTGTTGATGTTATCTTTTATGTGGAATAATCTTCATGAATTATTATTTAAAATATGTATTGTACTACCAGGTTAAACACAAGTTTTAAATTACATGTATATTGAATTTTATGATATATAAAACCAATAAGAAATCGGATATATTTACAAATTCTTTTTCTATTGCTTAAACCTGATAACAATTATCAATGGCTCACTTTATACAATAATAATCATGTTTGTAAACTTAGCTAGAGGAGTATTACTAAACTATATCAAACTGTTTAAAATTGAACTATTTGATTATAAAATTGATGTTTACATTAATCATATTTATTGAGATTGTAACCTAAAATATTCCAAGGTTATCTATATAATGGCAACCATGTTTAATGACCTGTATTGTCCATAAAAATAACATTGTTCACGTTAAACCTTTGTCACAATTTTATGTACAAAATGTTTAAATGTTAATTATTCCTATGTCATATGCCATATACTCAAGCATCATCTAAAGGCTTAATTTCCATTTTTCCATTTCTTACATTAAATTCTTACATTTCTTGAATTAAATTGTCTCAGGTACAAAACCTTGCCAATTTTAATCATGCTACTGTTTATTTGTCCAGTGGAAACTTTGGTTTTATTGAAATTAATTAGTAAAATTTTTGTGGATTTACTTTTTTTTACTTATTTTGGAAATTGATATTTTAATGAAATGTGCTGCCAAGATATATTTGAGGGTATTTTCTTTTTATATTTTGCACTCTTCATTACTGGAATGTACTCAGAGACTAAATTCAGAAAAGGAACTATTCAAATGACCAGTGCATAATTGAGAATAGATCTGTTTAATGACAGGTTCAAATGCAACCAAGTTTCTCTCTCCCTTATGTTAAAAATATAAAATCATATTTGGATATTTCTTTGTTTCTATTTATTTGATATTACGGTTATTGTTTTGCTAGATTTTGTAAGAAACAAGTTCTGTTAATATGTCTGCCAAATCATTGATTATTAGTCAATCTTTATTGTTTATTATTTTGACAATAAAACCAGCTGAAAGTATGAAAAATTGTCTTGTTTTTTACTGGAATTCTTTATATGATTTGAATATCTCCTCTATTATCTGTGAAATAAAGAATCTGGACCAAGTGATGTATTCCCCGTCACATTCTAGACTTCTACACTTAAAATGTTAAATGAAATGAAATGGGGTTTAACATCCTACGTTTCTGCACCAACTCGGCTCATGAAGATGACCATACGCCATGCAGTGTACTATGAAGGAATTTTTGCCTACTCATATTTTGAATTCCAACTGCCAAATGATGTTTTATGTGTATGCCAACATGTACACGGGACCTCATGTTTTTTCTGTCCTATCGGGGGGTGGGTGTTGGATGGCCGAATGGTTAGCACGTGTGCGCTGTATCATAAGGTCTGTCATTGAGTCAACGTGACAAGGAGTAGGGTCACCTGTCCAACCTTGTGGGTTTTCTCCGGGTCCTCCAGTTTCCTCCCACTGCTAAAGACCCCTACGCACAAGTGAATTATTGAAATAAAATTTAACCATGTGTTAGTCGCGAAATGACCTAGTTTGTGTTGAGTGGACTTAAACCCCATTTCTCTCTCTCTCTATCTTTCTATCTTTCTGTCCCATCAGATCAACTAGACCTTGTTTCTTGCCACATGAAATGTTACCTACAATTTATGGGGGCCATCTTTCTGTTCTACAATTATTTGGCGTGATAATCACTGAAGTGCAAAACAGAAGTCTGTAGCTGCTAGACTAAGCAGAAAATGCCTATGATTGATTGGTCAAGGCTTTGATAGTAGTGGAACTATACATCAACTTTCATAACAGTGAGTCAATTAGAATCGGAGATATCATATCATAAAGCATGAACCAATTAAAATGCTTACTAGTATCTATGCTTAGCCTTAGCCAAAAATGGTAATCATCAAACTCGGTCAAGACTTATCTAATGAAAATCTACACTAAGTTTGAACATTGTACCTCAATTCGAATTAGTACCAAAAAGTATGATGGACAAACTGACAAACAGATTTTAATAAGGTTAAACAAAGATTCAAATTTGATTATAAGTGTAAATCACAAATGTTTATGTGTGGTTTAATGGTCAAGGACGAGATATTAAGTAACATATTGATATTGCATGAGGACGATAGTGGTTTCAATGAAATCATCACGCAATTCCAATATTTCATCTAGTATAAATAATGTATGATTGGCACATTACCCATAGTATTATTTGAAATAATAGTATGCCAACATCAAAGGGTGACATCTGTATTTTAAAACTCATTATTGATACATTTCCTATCCAACAGTAGAAGTTTACAAACAATAGTATTTAAAGCACTAAGTGTAAGAATTTATGAGCTGTCAAAATTTATTGTCAAAAATGTGTAAGCCTAACGTAACACAGTTTCAACTTAAACAAGATAAGTGGGTAAGACGCTGGCTCGATAGCCTGGAGGTTGGGTGTTCGATCCCTGCATTGGCCGACAAAGTTCATCCAGATTTTCCGGAGTGGTTCCCCCATGTCAGTGATGCAGGACAGAGGGCCTGACAAGAGCAGCTGTCTAGTCATTCGGATAGGATGAAAAACCGAGGTCCTGTGTACACATTGGTGTGTACGTAAAAGATCCCTTGACAGTTGGAATTCGATATAAGAGTAGGCTGTAGTGCAGTTGTCCGGGCAAAGTTTCCCCACATAGCACACTGTATGGTGTATGCCCGTCTTCATTAGCCCAGTTCGGAGCAGAACAGTAGGATTTAAACCCCATTTCATTTCACCCATCGAAAAATATGAGACAATATGTGTGAGACATTGTATTGTGTATTACAATTACTAAACCCACTTCCACACCGCTGAATATACAACTGCTAGGTATATACGTTCTAAACCGAAACAAGAAGTTGGAATAAAAAGAGAAAAAAAATTAATTACAACTAATAAACGGATCGGGTATATTTTAAAGATATCAAGCTATTAAAAAAATCTATGAATATTTGGCCTACTTTCGTTTCCTAATGTTTTGAAACTCAAATTTGTAGTATTCCATTCGCATTACCTGTCGATAATTTTGTTGCACGCAAATTTTTAGTATTAAACCAATCTCTAAAATCTTATAGTCAGCTGCATAATGGAAAATTACAAGTAAGGCTATTTAAATTTATACAATTGTGCACACACAATTTTTATTCCAATATTCGTTTCGGATTAAATGTCCAGCAATCCGTAATTTGTACATTTCCATATGTCATGGCCGCTAAAAACTGGAGATATTAGCTTAGTCTGTTCTTTATTTGCTTTATTGTTATTTTACTCTGAATACGGTTGATAAACTGTATATTTTTGTGTTCTGTAAGTAACAGACCTATTTTATAAATTGGATAATGGGTAGTGCTCAAGATCAGTGTCACCTCTTTGTTCTTTCTCGGAAACAAGTCAAAGTTCTGATACCTACACATACATTATCATCATTCATATAGGGTGCCCAATGCAGCCTAAATTTTCCCCACTCTTACAGCAGTAAAAAATCTATTGTTGACGATTCAGAATAACAGTAATATTTAGCTTTTTGGTTATTACAGCAGCTTTAGAGATTACGTTTGTTTTATTTTGTAAATTGCTTTATCATTAACTAACTATACTGTTGTTAGGGGTGGCATCTTTTGGTTTAGTACAAATATTATCTCTGAAACACTCGGGTAAGGCAAGAACATGACACTAGCAGTAGTCTCATTTTACTTTTACAAGGTTCTTAAAACAATTGTTGAGTTGCCTAACGTGTGTTTCTAATTTCAATTTCTTGTTCCAGCTTTCTGTTTTGTTTCGTAAAAAAGTAGTCTTGATTATCCCGGCCTGTGAATCAGACAGAGAATGGTCGTAAACTGGTTAATCGTCGAGGCTAATTTCAAAGCAAGGGCATGTAACCTATTTTTGACTCAAAAGTGCCTGGATGGCCAACTCTCATAACCATTTTTCATTCAGTCTAATATTTGTTGATGGTTAAATGGTCATTTAGTGACCATAAATGTGCAAAACTGATTTAAGGCTTTGTATATAAATATTGTCATGTGATTGTCAAGATATTTGGAGATATTTATTTATGGTGAGGCACCCTAACATATACCTAATACTTATTATAGAAAATCGTGTGATTTTCCAACAGGAAATTTTACAAAAAGGGCCGAGGATCGCTACGTGGGCAAAACAACAACTATTTTATCATTGGTTACAATTGTCTAAGCGGGAAAATTTATAGTAACTATTGGCTAACAGCATGTATGCACAAAGGCAAACAATCTTATTTGCATATTGCATACTTTAAAGTATCATTGGCTGCAATTATTTTCAGATTGATAACCTCAATGGCAAACATGTACTATAGTATTAGTGATAAATAGAATGGCAAAACCTTGAATAAATAATTTATTTTCCACAAACAAACGTAATAATATTATCCAAATAATTGTACTTGTATCCTATCGTTTTGGTAATATTGGCCCACTATTTTACAGAAATTGATTGGTTTTTGATAGTATCGGTTAATATTTGTTGGTATTGAGTTATCGAGGAGATCTGTAATTACTGGTGCCGTAAATATGGCATGATTTGAATGCAACACTAGTCTCCACCTTCTCACATTAATCTTAACATATATAACACCAATTTTGGTGTTTGTCTCAGATATGTTTGACATTAAAATAAATAATTATAAAACATTATGAAAGTTCTGATAAAAAATTGGAATTTGTGACATACATGTACACTGTAGGGATAAAAATAGTGCACCCAATAAACTATCACTACTTTATAGATATAAAATAAATGGCTAATATGCCAAACCTTGTATTATGAAATTAAAATAAAAAACAATGCTTTTGTTTCTTTATTAGGAAATCATAAACAAGAATGTCTTCATCAAGTGAAGAGGAAGAAGAGAAAGTGGCATTTTTGGCTGTCACCAGAGAAAAACGTAGCAATGCTGGCAGTAAAATGGCAAAGCTGTTGAATGAAGAAGAGGAAGATGAATTCTATACAACAACTTATGGTGGTTTCAAAGAGGTAAAAGCAGCTGTACCATATTAAATATTAGATTTTCATCCGATCCGATTGACTAAATGAAGTTCCTTGCAATGGGGGTTGGGTAACTGAATGGTCTAATGCATACGCTTTAGAATTAGATCCTATGGTCTGTTGTTTCCACCTACTCTTCTTCAAATGTCAATGGTTCTTTTATGTGACGCCAATGTCAGACAGGTTTTAATCCATGCAGGTAAGGCTGTTCCTTGCCAAACGAGTTGTGTTGTCGAATGGTATGACGTGTGTGCATTAGATTATAAGGTTTGTCATTGAGTCAAGTGGAGTGGTTTAAATCCCAAGCTTGTACGTGACAAGGAGTAGGGTTGCCTGTCCAACCTTGTCGGTTCACTCAGGGACTTTTGGTTTTCTCCCACTGCTAAAGACTCATACCAGCAAGCGGAAAATTAAAAAGTGTACCATATGTTAGTCCCCAAATTACCTAGCTTGAGTTGATTTACTATAAACATTGATACCTAAGTAAATTTTTGGATTATCCTCTGCCAGCTTCTTTTTTCTGATGTTTAATCACAGAGTCTGCTGGATGTTTAAGTCTTTCAATGCTCTCACAACTGTTAATCATTAGATCAGCACATTAGAAATGCTTCTTACGTCATTAGGAATGGCCTAAAATGTATGTCCTATGTGCGCTCCAGTTTTTTCTATTAAGATTGAGTGTCACTACTTGCCATGTATACCAAAATTGTCATACTTTTATTGGAAATAACTAATATTTTTATTGGAAACAACTCATACTTTTATTGGAAATAACTACCTGATAAATAGTGTTCTTAGTATTTACTTTTGAACCTAAATATATTTAGATTAACATACATACATTGTTAACATTTAAACATTCAATCTTTGAAAGCATCATACTGGTAATTAGACTATCATGTGTGTGTCTTTTGTGTACCATTATATTGGTAGAACCCAATTTTATTAATGATCTTTTATTATGATCTTGAACGAGATATTCAAATTGGATATTTATTAGGAACTAACATTATTTTATAAAAACAATGAATTTAAAAGAAGAAATTTAAATTTAGTTAAGAATATGTTTTGTATTATAGGAAGCTGAAGATATTGACTATGATTCGGGTAAATCTGATTCTGACGATGTTATTGACTCAGATTTTGATATTGATGAGGTTGATGAAGTTAAAAGTGATATGGAAGATGATGAACCGAAGAAGAAAAAACATACAACAGGAGTTTATAAAGTAAGAAGCTTATTCATAATACTAAAGTCTACAGAAATAATAGAACATGCATCTCGTTCTTTATTGTAAATGAAAATTTACATTTTTATTTTTCATTTGAACAGGAACCAACTGAAAAGAAACCAAAAGTTATAAAGCCAGAAGTAAAAAAGGAGAAAAAAGAACCCAAAGTAAAATCAGAAAAATCTTCTGTACAAATCTACCAATCAACATCACCATGTTAGTTTCTCAAGTTTTTCTCTCTTTTTATTTCATTTATATTAGATAGTAAAATCTAGGCTTTACAATGTAGGGTCAAGATCAAAGTTGAACTACATATAAAGTTAAACTACTATATATATTTGATCTAATAACTGTGCTGGTGATTAAAATACTATTCCAAATCAGGGATGCAGATTTCAAAGATTTGAAGGTTTAATGTTAGCATAATAATGACTTGCTTAAAAAAACAAAAATTATCATTATTCAATTCCAACATCAGATGAATTCTGACATAACATTAGGCCTCTATTTATAGTTCTAAAAAAAATTAATGGATTGGCACTTTTGAGAGTTCTTGAATATGAACTGCATAAAAATGTCAATAATATATTTTTGTATAATATTGTTTTTGTAGTAATAGAGAGAAAATCTAAAAGAGCTGCTACTGCTGTTAAATCGCAAGCTACAGCAAAACGAGAAAAACAAAGAGAAGAGAGAACTAAAATGATGAAAGAAATGGCTGCAAGAAAAAATGTTCCTGAAGTTCGACGCTTAACACAAGAAGAACTCTTGTCTGAAGCGAAAATTACAGAAGCAGAAAATAAGAAAAGTTTAGGTAAATTTGGAATACAATTACAAATGTTATTAGTTACTGCATAGACAATTAATGTTTTCGGTGCAGGTTTTTAAATGTCATCAGTCAATAAATAGTGCTTAAAGTCTCTGAATATCATTTGTAGGTTGAGGAATTCCTTTCAAACTACTGGTACAATATTGTGAAAATTAAAACTCTATAAAGAAATGGTTCAGTTTCGTTCTGTACTTATAAAGATATGATGAATTGAAAATTTGTCCCATTCAGATATCTTTGCTAAAGTCTTTTGATGGACCTGATTGAATTCAAGCTGGTAGATTATCTACCTATGATATTTTGATTTTGTTTGCTTAACTAAATGTTAAATAATCAATTTGAATACATTTTAGTGTGGATTAAGCCATGAAAAATTTGATATTTTCTGAAAAATGCAAATGATGCACCGACTTTAATATGGTACATTGTCAAGACTTTTGTGATAATTCATTTGTTGTTTTGATTTTATAGAGAACTATTATAAACTGGAATTAGAAAAGAAGAAGAGCAGAATTCAGAAACAAGTATTTAAGGGACCTATAATAAGATATCATTCTGTTACTATGCCTTGTTTGGAAGAATTAGCAATAGAACCAGATATTATTGTAGATGGGGAAGGGTAAGATTTTTACACCAATTTGCAAAACACTACCAAATCAAGTTGTTCAAACTTTACAGGAAGCCACGGTAGCTTGGTGACTAAGGCACTACCGTGATATCGGTGTTGGACTTAAAATTCCTCAGAATTTTCCAGCAAAATTCCTGTAGTCAGTGGTAATGGGGGACTGGCAAGGTGAAGGTAGAGAGTCTTGTCATTCCTTAGGATTTTCCAGCATGGTTTTCCCTAGTCAGTGGTGATGGGGGTACGGGCAAGGTGAAGGTACAGAATCTAGTCATTTGGATGGGACAAAAAAAAAACTACGGTCCTGTGTATGTGTTGGTATGCCCGTAAAGAACCCTAGACAGACAGATGGGGTTTAGTGGCTGTCATAGCGTATGCCCCACTTTATTAGCCCGGTTGGTGCAGGAAAGTAGGATGTTAAACCCCATTTCATTTATGTCTGAACTGTACAGTTGAAAAGATGCATGTAAAATGATAAGAAGTTATGGATCAGGGGAAACAACTCCATCAACAGCTGAAAACTTTTAATTTGGCAGCCAAACTATTACAGTTGATTCTATCTTTGTGGCCAGATTTGAAGAACCATATCACTTAACTATGAAAAACTGTTCATTTCAAGTTTTATTGCTTTTTTTTTTTTTTAGGTCAAACGAGGCTGTTAGGAAAATTGAAGAAATGGAAACCGGTGAAAAGTGTTCTCGATCATTTATTACTTTTACTGAGGAAAAAACATACCATGAATATTTTTCATCAAAGAAACAAAAACTTCCTCAAAGACCAATCTGTCCTGTGACCAAACTACCAGCTAAATACTTTGATCCTATTACACAAACTCCATATGCTACTTTAAATGCATTTAAATGTATTCGTGATGCATATATACAACAGTGTGAATCTAGTCAAAAACGGAGTAAACCTACACCAGAACCAAAACAACCAGCCCCAAATACAGTGACAGTTAATGGATAAAACTTATGTTTTACACATATTTTCATCTCATGTGGCATAATTTGAGTGGTTCAGAAAAATTGATTTGGTTATTGTTGACTTGTGATTTGATTTACATCTATAATATGTCATCTGTAGACCATTTCTAAATAAGCTTTAATAAAGTACTGACAATACTGATGATAAAGAACTAAACAACTTAATGTCTCATTTCTGTAAATACCCACAATAATAAAAAAAAAATCTGTTTGTATAATATCATGACTTTGTTATATCATATCAAATTCTTTGGGAGATGAAAAAATTGAACTTGATATTTAAACACTATGAAAGATTTCTGTCAAATGAGCCAATAAATGTTGTTGGGATTTACTTAATAATGGCATTCCACGAATTATAGATAACAAAATACAAAATAAGTAAATACAAAATAAGATTTTATTATATAATAGTTTTTAATATAACATGTATCATGAGTCTGAATATTCTATAAATTGTGGCTGGACTTTGGCTACTTTTCTAAACTCTTCTGAAAGTGATTTAGTACATTGCATCTTGCACCAACTAATTGGTATCATGTTCCCTCCTGTAATACAAACATATACAGTATATAAATATATTAAAGATTATCATCAAAATAGAATCTTGTATGTTCAGCTTTACCAGCAACACACAACATCAAAATAATAATACAATCTTAAATATTAATTTTATACTGCTGCAAATTTCTAATTTGGCAGTCACAAACTTATGCAAGATATGTTCAGATCTATAACTGAATGAGGCCATAAATGTTATATAAATTATTAATTAGACATTTATTAACCTGAAAAGACCACAATCAATTCTCAGTGCCTTTGGATGGCTCCGATTTTAAGTAGATTAGAATGGTTTGGTCATTTAATGATTTACTTTAAGCCTCAAATAACCAGCACCCAGGTTACGATAATACAAAAATTTCTGGTTCTCAGACAATCCTTCGAAAAAATCTGATGCCGGAGGTTTTTTTTTTGTTATATTTTTGTTGTGCATTCTTTGCTCAGTAAATAGTCCTCAAAAATTCCAGGCACTACATTATCTCATAATGCTGTTTATAGGAATGTATAATTATCCAGTGTCATTTATGATTGCCTGTAACATTTATAAGGGTGGAATACTTGATAACTGAGCCAATGGTACACATCCAGTTTCATTAAAACTTTTTTATAGAGTTGCTTGCTGTAACCAGGGGAAAATATTTACATAAGGTAATTAATGTGATTATTTTTTTAAATAAAAACCGGTCATGTGGCTCTTTTTAAGTGCTGCAGGAGTATCTCAGAACCAGAATATTTTTTGTGTATGGCCTAATACACATTTTTAATCAATTTATTTACCTGCTTCACTAGTTGCTATGACTACACCAAGTTCATTTTCTGCTGTAGTTAATACATAAGACTGAGCATCTCCTAATGATAACTAGAATTCATTAAGGAAGTAGTAGTAGATCAAAAAAATTTACTTTTGTTAATTTGCTTTATATCTAAAACTATATAAAATTTTGATTTCCTGCTCGATATGATGTTTCAATTATAATTTGAAAGGATACAACTTTTGCCACTATAATATCTCCAGGTCTATAACATTTATACATTTCTACCTGAAAATACATATAAATGGTTCAAACATTTTTATTCACAATCACAACTACACTGTATTCAACATTGTTTATATATCTTTGTTTATAAAGCCATCAGCGTTTTTATGAAAACTTTTTAATCTCTAACCCTAGCTACTCTCACCTTATCTTTTTCAGTTGCTCGCACATCTTCTTTTCTGTAACAAACAATTAAAAGGGTATATCCTGTTTTGAAAGCATAATGAAAGTATATAATTTCTGCACTTAAAATATTATATCCATGGATTAAGCCAATGTTGAGATGTAACCAATTTTCCCTCAACTATCCACACTTTAAGCAAGAAACAAAACACAAACTGAAATCAGTAAATGGACGGACTAGTTGCCCAAAATAAAATTATCATACCTTAACATTCCTCTGAATGGTTCTTGTAATTTGGTATTACCCACACTTAATATAGAACATTTGCAAAATCTTGGATTTACATTAGTAACCTGAAATATATCATATAATTGTTTGGTTGTGATACAATTATACTAAATCAACAACTGCTATTACTGGTATATTTTAACTTGATACAAATTTGGAATAACAAACTCTGAAAACAAAAAATGTATCGTCTACATCTTACCCTAGCTGTAACTATATCATCTTCAGAAGGGACAACATTATGTGTTTTGGTGGATCTCACTTCAAGAATTGTCTGGAAAAAAAAATCAAATTAACATAACATAAAATTAACATGGCATAAAATTACACCAAAAACTTGATTTCACAAGATTTATTATTTCTAAATATAAAGGAGAGATATGATTTGCTATCGAAAATGTTGGATCCCAATAGCATTCCTCCTTATGCATATAAACAGAAGATACAGTCTAGTTTATTTCTAATACTGTTTAACACACAATAATTAACTCTTTTGGACACACTCTGATAATTAATAACAATGGAGACTGGTCACTCATTTGATGTCTCAATTAATTAGTGAAAAATTTTGAATGTTTGTGTTAATCAAAGGGGCATTTGGTAAGGTCAGATAAAGAGCTGAAATTTCTCTCTATAATAGTTAAAAAAATAGATAATAAAAACAGAATATGCTGAAAATTTCAGTCAAACTAATTCACTCTGAACTGACACCTTAGCGATTCAGTTTTAGGCTAGCTTGGATCGTCATTACTAGTCTTGATTATCATTTTTACGTTAAATAAACCATCACAAAATGTATTCAAATCCATTAAATAATGCAGGCTATTAAATTATGGCCTCAAGAGTGATTATGGTCTAGATAAGTTAATTTTAATTAACTAAATATTGGTTTATATAACATTTCAGGTCTAAAGAAGGAACTGCAACAAGCAGATTAAGCTCTTGCATGATGTATGTTTAAGGTGATCATCATTAGAACATACATTTTAACTTTCTTTTGAACCGGAGAACAACAAACTAAGGCAGTTGTACTCATACCCCTTCTTTAAAACTGGTTTAAAATATATTCGTTCAGAGATAATAAAAAAAGAATATATTCACCTTGCCATCATCTGTTGTTTGTGTATGAACATGACCAACCAGTGTAGAATATACATAACCGTTTCTTACATATGTACCATTACCGGCCACATGACTCCCATCGGTTCGCAGTATTCTTTGCCCTGAAAATAGTCCTCTAAATTAATATTATATGAACACTGAAAGAAACAGTTATGACAACATAACCTGTTGGGGTAAACAAAATATGATAGTTTTTATTCAACAAATGCTGTTGTGATACACGAACACTACACCAGATAGAATTATACACTACAGCAGTGATTCTCAACCAGATTGCAGCGAAACTTTGCGAAAAACCACGTGATCCCAATTAAGCACACTAAGAAAATGGAAAAAACATTTTTTCCTAATTAAGCATTCACTGGTGTCTACTGGTAAGTTCATAGCTGTGTTTTTCTTTATTTAGTTTGAGTCATTCTATGTGTCTACAGTCTATCACTAGTCTGTGTCTACAGTTGTATGCCGCCTATGACTTGCCTTTGTTCTTATTTTGAAAAATTCAAATATTTTTCATATATATTTAGCCTGGTGTATCGCTATTTTTCATGTGTTCCAAGGTGTGCCACTGCACTACAGTATCTCACGGAGGTGAGAGTCGGCGAAGGATCAGGTGCAATACATGTATATGAATAAAAATACTCATATTGTATAATAATAATATTTACATTTTCTGATGATAATAGAACATAATTAAATTAAAAGTACTGTCTACGTCAGGTGCTTTACAATTTATACCAGTTTACATATCAGAAACTAGAAGGAAATAACTGACAATGTCAATAATGATGTCTAGTTTATTTTAAATTCATCAAAAAAAGCAAACCTGGAACACAAATCGTGGAGGCTGCCATCTTGAATGAAACCACGTGGGTAGCTACACACATTTGCGTCAAAAGGGAAGTTCAGTGTGTGGTGCTCGAATATTTAACAGTTTTGTAAATTATAACTTAGGTTTTATCAATTTGAAATTCATTTAGGAGTTGATCTTGAGAAACCTCTTATGTGTTTGTGAATAATAAAGTTTTAATGGTGGTTTTTGTTTGGGAATATTATTAAATTAAATTATTGATTCCCTTTCGTTGGACCAAACCATTTCTACTTCCGGTAGATGTCATCATGGCTGACAAAATAGACTTTTCAGAGGTGAGAAAGTTGCGAAGTGAATAAAATGATAAAATAAATTTTTTGTTGCCAGTTTTAATTAACATAAGACACCACTGAATATACTTAAAACTATTTCTTGGAAGTTACTCAAGAAAACTAAAGAAAGTGATCAATTTTGTTGAAAATCAGATTGGTCTGAACTCTGAGTGGTCTTCAAAGTAAACAATCATAATATGTAACAGGCCTTGCCTGAGTAGAGCGAAGCTGATGTGATTGTTGTCAAATAAAACCTTCATAATAAAGTTTCCACAATTGAAAAAAGAACAAAAAGGTGTGAGGATTTTCATTGACGTCAAAATTATCTGACGTCATTTATTCGACGCGTCATAGAAATATTTCTTAGAGACCCAAAATCTCGCTTGGGCGAGATTTGGTAAGTTGACATGCGCATTGCCTGTTTTCCCCAGTGTATCCGGTTCCTGTCTGAATTTTTTTTTAATCAACAGTCTGTGGGTGACATTTTCAATTACGCTCCTGTGTTACCAGAAAAGAGCTTTGCTCAAGCACCGCGCTTCGCGCGATGCTTTAGAGCTTCGCTCTATATTAAAACAAATACAACTATCACTTTATTTGGTGGGATGATTTGTCTTTGGGATGAGTTGTCTGGATACCATATACAGATGTCAGATACAGTGTAATATAGGCTACATGTATAAAGCAGTCCATGCTATTTCCCCCGTATATTCCGTACATGTCCTATGTGATTTTCCAAATGTCCGACCAGGAATATGCCCAATCGGACATCAATCCAATAAGAGTGATTAAAAACTTAATTTGCATGATTATCTTGTGATTTCTCCATTGTCGGACATGTTAATCTCCCTGATATCAGCTGACAGCATGTAGAAACTAGTCATTCACATATCCTAATAGTATATAACACCACAAAGGAATGGATATTTCCTTTGTAAGAACTGCCACATAGTCCCACCTAGCAACCCATTTGCCATTACAAATAATTGAATTATTTTCCATTCACCGACAACAGAAGATTCCGCACATTTCCACAAAATGAATCCATATGTATCACTGCCTATTATTAGCTATTAATAAACACCTTTATAACTTATTTTCCGTCATGAAACCAGGTCTTTCACGACTCCATATGGAAATCCCCATCTACAACAATCTGATAAAAACACAGATCCTATATCGTTTTGTTTTTTATAGTTCAAAATTTTGTTTTACATGTCTTCACAACACTAGGATCTGGAAGAGTTGTTATATAACAGGCTTTCTGGTTGATGTGAGGAATTAGCTAATGAAACGTTTTTTTATGGCGAATTCTTGGTGTGCTGTGCACGAAACTCTGGGTAAACCACTAGAAACATCAATGCTGATTGATTAATCATAGGGTCAACGACCACTCGTATGACCTCAGGTCTTCATGTAGTAGAGGCCATCTAAAGTATAATAAAATGAAACGAAATATAGATCTGTATTTTAATCAGATTGCCATCTACAATGGCACTGACTCTCTTGCGATGTCATTGTCGCACAGAAATCATTGCTTGCCATATAAGGCACTATGTACTACGAAACTTGTAAAAGGGTTGATTTTGGCGTGAATTGTGTGTAAAAGATCACCTAGGCCAATGACATACATGATAATATGCGGAAGTGGACTTTGCCTTCTTACGAGTGATTATACTGCCAATGTAATTTTAAAATACCATTTTATAAAGAAGAAAACGATGTGACAAACTATTCTTATCAAGAATTATTGAGGAATGTTATGTTACTGACATAAAGTTGAAGCCAGTATAGGAATTACATATGAAAAATAGCGAGGACCACCTATAAACCTTATTCAGAACACGGCATGCTACTTAACATAAGAAATATTTCTAGTTGATATCCATTAAAGGGAATTGAAGCTTAATGACCTTATTTCCTGACTCTAGACTCTGTTAACTAAAAAAGTCTGATGTGCAAAATTTTGAAATAGCATCATTGGTATATAGTAAAGCATTCTTATACCTCATTAATATTAATTAGTTCCACCAATTCCTTATATGTACTATGTATAAGTGTGTTACTATATACATGTAAGAGCCTACATCAGTAAAGCTTAGAAGAGTTATAATAGCATACGGTATAGAAGTTATTATTACCCATCCCTAGAGGCAGGCATATAATATATTGTTCCACACCTATACCCCTAGGTTCCTCAAGCAGGGAAACCTAGATGCAAGTTCTGTCATACTTTTTGGCTGAAGAAATTCTCATGAAATGACCGGGTCAGTTGGTAAATTCTACAGTATTGTCCAAGCTTATTCAAATATCCATCATTGAACTACAATAAAAGTCACTCATGACAAACAAAAGCTGTCCAGTAAAATATGTTTATCCCAAATTACATTTATATTAAACACTTATCGATGTTGACCTGTATATCACAAAACAAATCATTTCAGTCATTGGGGTGCCACAGTGGATCAGTGAGTAAAAATGAAATGAAATGGGGTTTAACGTCCTACTGTTCTGCTCCTATACTGGGCTAATGAAGACGGGCATACGCCATACACTTTTACGTGCATTCCAATATGTACACGAGACCTCGGTTTTTCGTCTCATTCGAAGGACTAGACAGCTGTCCTTGTCAGGCCCTCTGTCCTGTATCACTGACAATGGGTAACCACGCCGGAAAATCTGGATGAACTTTCTCGGCCAATGCAGGGATCGAACACTCGACCTCCAGGCTAGCGTCTTACCCACTTAGCCACGTGATCCCCTCAGTGAGTAAAACAAAGGCTCGCTAACCTGGAGGTCTTGTGTTCAATCCTGGCCAGGAAAATGTATAGTCGTTCGAATGGGACAAAAAACCAAGGTCCTGTGTACACATTAGCATGCATGTAAAAGATCCCTTGGCAGTTGGAATTCGATATAAGAGTAGGCCGTAGTGCCGCTGTTCGGGCAAAATTTCCCTCGTGGTTTAATGTAAGTTTCAATAGTAGTATACGTATACCTCAGACAAAAACAGCCTGGGTTGTTTCATCACACTTACAATCTTGATGTGTATACATGTATATCTGAAAGAGAATGGTTATTGCTGATACAAATACTGTGAATGTTACTGATTAGCCTATATTCTTTCCCTTCTTGATTTTGTTTTTTTTAAAAAAAGGCTTTGATATTACCTGTTAGTGAAAGCAAGTAAGATAAAACTGTCCAGAATAACAGATGTGAGGGACAAGCAACAGCCTACATTATACTGTTATTAGTGACTTTGTCATATTCTTTTTCCAGGTTCACAATCTTGGTGGATATGGATCCGAGTTTGATTCTGAAGTGGAGTCTGAACAGAACAGGTACAGTATTTTTCCTACATCATATAGATAATAATGATATATTGATTCACAAAGTAAGCTTATAGCAAATGAATTTCAGTCAACATGGATTAATAAATTCACAATCTTATTTTAGGTATTCATTATATTAAACAGTAAACTATGTATGCACATGATATAATATATATATAGTCACCATGAACATTTTGTAAGCTGATTGCAAAAGATTAAATTACACTGAATTCAACTTGTAATGAGCATTTATGGTCTATTAATGTATATTTGTATTTCAGGAAAAAATATAAAGGTTTACTACCTAAGAAAAAGAAGGGTACAGATGGTGTAGCTAATAAAAGGAATGTAGAAGAAGAATATACCAAGTATGAAATTTGATGCCAGTAATTAATAAATTTCTAATTATAAAAACAGATTACAGTAGTGTATCATTGTCTTGAGCTCAATTTATCCTCTTTTGTATAAGATCATTCTTTAGTCTTTTTGTTGCTGTATTATAACATTTTATTTGTTTTAGGGAAGAAGGCAAAGTCCACAGACAACAGCTTTTAAGCTTAGATGCTGTATCCTTACCACTGTTCTGAAAAACTAGGCTTTTGGCCTCCTTAAAACTTACCTTTAATTTTCATATGTATCAGAATTATTTACCCTTCAACGTTGGTGTTTTACCTACCAGAATTCTACATGACGTATATTTTCCTTAATATCTGTGTACAGTATGCTCGTCATAAACAGTTTGTGAATAACTATATGTTATATTATGGTGGTAATAAACAAGAGTTCAAGAGAGACACGTAATTATACTCCTTTTTATTTGATTAAATTTAGGGGATTACTTTGGTGAAAACCCTGACATTGAAAGATAAAGTGTTTAAAAGATGTCATATATCAGTTACACCATGGTTCATAACAAATTAGGGAGTTGGATGGCCGAATGGTTAGCACGCGCGCTGTATCATGAGGCCTGTCATTGAGTAAACTGACGTGGTTTCGAATCCCCGGTTGTACGTGACAAGGAGTAGGGTTGCCTGTCCAACCTCGTGGGTTTTCTCCGGGTCCTCCGGTTTCCTCCCACTGCTAAAGACCCCTACACGCAAGCGAATTATTGAAATAAAATTAAACCATATGTTAGTCCCGAAATGACCTAGTCTGTGTCGAGTGGACGTTAAACCCCATTTCTCTCTCTCTCTCTCATAACAAATTAAACACAATCTGATCAACTAACTGAAAATTATTCCGTCTTGCTGTACATGATAAATTTAATATAAAAACACAATGTTCCAGAAGGCTAGTATGCATTTTCTTTATTTAAATTTAGCAAAAATAAGGACTTAAATGTATTCTTAAAAGTAATTAAGACAATTTAAACAGACAACATAGTTTAGATTAGATGATATTTTGGTATTTTCTGTGAATAAATGTGTTTTATGAATCTGGCCCTGGCTAATGCTCTAAGAGGGAAAAAAAACCCAAAGTGTCAACATGAAATCCGTAAAAGCAATGGGCATTTTGTATGTTCTGAAAGTCTATATTTGCCTCTTAGTCTGTAATATTGTGCCTTTATCTTCTATGCCATGAAATGTTTATCAGTTATTGAATTATAGATGTTATAAATTTATGACTTTAAATATTTATAGCTCTAGAGATAAAAGAGATAGTGATGTGATCAGAGAAAATCACCAGTTTTTATGGGAAGATGAGGATGATGATTCACAGTTGTCATGGTGACTATTAACAACATTAAAAAATATATTGAAACTACTGTTAAAAAGTAGTGAAGATTTATAAATTGAAACCAGCAAAACAATTTCTTCAATAATATAATTTGAAAGCAGTAATCTTTTTTATACTAATCATTTCTGTGGGGTTTTTATTCACTTCTTAAATAAATGTTATTTTTGTGTCAGGGAAAGAAGATTAGCTAAGAAATATTATGATAAATTATTTAAAGAATACTGTATAGCAGATTTAGCAAGATATAAAGAAAATAAGGTAATAAAGCTTTAATTAAAGTCCTTTAATTCAAACTTTGAAGCCATCTGCTTCTTGAACATGAGGCATTACTATATCCCTCTCTCAGATAATCTCAGTGATATCATGTTGCCACCAATCCCATTTAGAGACCATAACAAGTGGGGTTTCATGGAATGGAGGCAACTGAAATTTAGAATACATGATTTGAAAATGGGATAAAATGATAAGTAAGGCTGCAAGGATTGAAAGCATTCACAAACACTTTTTTTGGATTACTGGTATGTTCAATCCATTAGTGTTCTATTTTGAGTATATAAAGGTACAAATATGCTATAATCAATTATTATATGATAAATTGATAAATATATACATAAACACATGAGAAATATTCCCATGGATTGAATGTTTTGGAATTTATTATTTCAGTTTGGAATGAGGTGGAGAATTGAAAAAGAAGTTTTTGAAGGCAAAGGTACATTTTGTTCTTTACTGTTGTTATACATTACTTTCTTGTCTTTTGTTCTGTGTATTATCTACTGTACTGTAACAATAATTTCGTTCATATTTTTATATTATTAAAAATCATATACAGGTCACAGTTCTATGGAATACAAGCATTAACCAAGTATTGTTGTGTACATGTATATCTTGTCTTGTTATATTTTCATATTTTATCATTGCTTGATAATGACTAGAGAAGCCTAGTCGAAACGTTGCTCAGTAATAAGCTGTAATTGTATTCCATAGAATTGTGACCTGTATATTCCAGTTCAATTAGTAAGTACCATTGAAATAATTTATTAAAAATCAATCAAGAAAGATTTATTTTAAATAGTATTAAATCTGGTGCCCCACATCTTCTTTTAAAATATGTATGAATGTTTAATCTAGGTTAATATCTGTGTGTTATTTAATACCAACAAGAAAAATTTAAGTGTAGTTCGATTTTAGGAATACTATCACGATGAATTAAATTATCATAATTATATTACATGGTTTCTTTTAATTTTATGTGTAATTGGGATTTTTTTTTATTGTGTGTAGTTATATGTTTATTTTATCATAATATTCTATAGGTCAGTTTATTTTATTAATATTCTATTGGTCAGTTTATTTTATTATAATATTCTTTAGGGAGAGTCAGTTTATTTTTTTATAATAATCTATGGGTCAGTTTTTTTATCATAATATTCTATAGGTCAGTTTATTTATCATAATATTCTATAGGTCAGTTTTTTTTATCATAATATTCTATAGGTCAGTTTTTTTTATTCTATAGGTCAGTTTATTTTATCATAATATTCTATAGGTCAGTTTATTTTATTAGCATATTCTATAGGTTAGTTTATTATAGTATAATATACTACAGGTCAGTTTATTTGTGGTGCAAAGAAATGTAATGAGAGAGAAGATTTAAGAAGTTGGGAAGTAAATTTTGGGTATATTGAACAAGGAGAGAAAAAGAATGCTCTGGTGAAGTTAAGTAAGTTTAAATTTCAGATTAGTCTCCCTTTGAATAAAAGGCATCCATAATGAGACGCGATTGAGCATACTGGGGATTTGCTCTACAACACATGCACCAACTAAATAAGAAAATTCATCAACCAACCACAACACCTGAAACATATTCGTTATGTAGTTTAATTACACTACCCCAGTTTTCAAGACTGACAGAACTGTGACAATCCTGAAGTCTTTGCGACCTTATTTCAGTTCTGTAGTTCCTGACTAACTAATAAAAAAATCCTTAACAAATATGCAATTCTTGTATTTACACATTAAATACAAGCACCAATAACTTTTTATACGCTCACATTTTCATGTGGACGTATTATGCCGTCGCCCCCGTCCGTCCGTCCACAATTGTTTGTGGACTCTCTACAGGTCACAATTCTTATCAGATTTCGACAAAACTTGAAAAATAGGTTTATCCCCAAAAGATCTCGACTGCTTTCGATATTGGCATGTATCGAATCGAAACTTTATGGATTATGGCCCCTGTTTGTACAAAAAATCACGTTTTTAGCTTGTGGACCCTATAGAGGTCACAATTTTTACCCGATTTAAAAAAACGTATTATTATATCACCGTTACACCCTAGGGACGACTGAATTAGAATTTCGTGAAAATCGGCCCAAAATTGACAGACAAAATGGCCGCCGTTCGTTCTCAAATAGCGTAAGAAAATAGTATATCAAGGTTGTGGACCCTATAGAGGTCACAATTTTTATCCGATTTTGTTGAAACTTGAAATGTAAGTCTATAACCCAAAGATCTCGGTTCCTTTCGATATTCGCGCATATCGGACCGTAATTTCCTGAATTATGGCCCCTGATTGTACGAAAAATCGCGTTTTTAGCTTGTGGACTCTATAGAGGTCATAATTTTTATCCGATTTAAAAAAACGTATTATTATATCACCGTTACACCCTTAGGACGACTGAGTTTGAATTTCATGAAAATCGGCCCAAAATTGACAGACAAAATGGTCGCCGTTCATTCTCAAATAGCGTAAAAATATGGTATATCAAGGTTGTGGACCCTATAGAGGTCATAATTTTTATCCGATTTAAAAAAACATATTATTATATTACCGTTCCACCCTAAGGACAGTTGAGTTTGAATTTTGTGAAAATCGCCCCAAAATTGACAGACAAAATGGCCGCCGTTCGTTCTCAAATACCGTAAAAATATGGTATATCAAGGTTGTGGACCCTATAGAGGTCACAATTTTTATCCAATTTTGTTGAAACTTGAAATGTAAGTTTATAACACAAAGATCTCAGTTCCTTTCGATATATGCGCGTATCGAATTGTAATTTCCTGAATTATGGCCCTTGATTGTAGGAAAAATCACTTTCTTGTTAGCTTGTTCTCTATCCATCTCTCGAAAATGTGTGCGTATCCTGCCTGGCAGCCGCTGGTTTAATTTCTTAATACATTATAATAGATTATTAATATTTATTTTGTAGGATTATGTCCGGATTGTTCTTACAAGTTAAATTATCGTAATAAGTAAGTTTTACAATATTTGTAAATTCCTACTTGAAATATTAATGACTTTATTTAGGGATTTTAGATTAGTTAATGTTTTAAATAAAAATATATTGATATTATGGGACAAACAAAAACCTCAGTTGACATTTGTGACATTCTAATTATATTTTGTTATGTATTATAGGATCTGGTATAACTCTGCAATTATCAAGCAAAATGACTTTGTCCATTTCGTTATTATTGATCATGATATTTATATAATATTAATCAGTGTATATTTATTACTTGAGGCATAATAACAACAAATATTAATGCTATTTTATATTTACAGGAGGAAAGAAGTTAAACCCAAGAGATTACAATCTAAACCACTGAGTAAAAAACATAAAAAACATAAAAAACAACACAAAAAACATCACAAGAAACACAGATCAAGGGGTAATTTTATTCTCTATCTATGGTGTGTCTCCCTTTAAAACTCTGAACTCAGATTTGTGAGCAATATCCAATACTTTATTTAGGCTACCTTTTTTTAAAAAAAATAAAACATACACTGTATATTTAAATTAATTATTTAAAATATTGAATGTTTGTGATAGATTCAGATTCTGATGATGATAGATCTAGTAAATCACAGGCTAAAGAAGAAGCAACAGAGACTAGTAAATCAGACATTATAGATCAATCAGTATGGAGTGGTCCAGCTAAATTAACTGAAGAAAAATCAAGGTAAAATAACACAACATAGTCACACAAACTATGTCAGAGGTTATACCACCCCTGAATAATCACACAAACTATGCCAGATATTATACCACCCCATCTCTCTCTACAGTTCCTAACTTTTATCTGATTTTATTCCCCAAAGATCTCGGTTACTTTTTAGCTTGTGGACCCTCTAGAAGTCACAATGTTTATCTGATTTAAAAAAAACGTTTGCATATCACCGTTACACATAATGATGGTTCAGTTTCAATTTCTTGAATCGGATCGAAACTGCACTACAAAATGACTGCTCCTTGTGCACAAAGTGTGTAAAATATGTTATACCAAGGTTGTTGACCCTCTAGAGGTCACAATTTTGATCCGATTTTGATGGAACTTAAATATATGTTTTTGTCCCACAGTTCTCGCTGCCTTTTGATATTAGTAAATGTCAGAATGTATGTTCCTGGATTATATATATGGTCCCTGATTTGTACGCAAAGTGTGTAAAAGTATGTAATACCAAGGTTAAAGGATCCTCTAGATTTTGATGAAATTTAAAATACATGTTTATATTCCAAGGATGTCCGTTACTTTTGATATTGTTGCATGTCCGACTGTAACTTTCTGGATTATAATCCCTGACTGTAGGCCTGCAAAAAAATGCCCTTTTTTAGCTTGTTATCTGTCCATCTCTTGTTTTCCGATTTGGATGAAACTTAAAATATATTTTAATATCTTAATGATTTGGGTTGATTTGGGTTCCGTTTGAATCCGCGTATGGGACTGTAACTGGATTATGGCCCCTGATTGTACGAATCTCAGTAGGACGTTAAACTCCATTTCATTTCATTTTGTACGAATCTCAGGGGGTATCTTGCATTATGTGGTGTGAAATCTAGTAGATTTGATCTGTAACTGAGGCATATAGCTATCCTTCAATTGCATTTTAGTTTTTATTTTCAATAGTGGCAATGAGTCCAGGTAAACCAGAATAACTTGTTGGCATCAGTCTTTAATCATACTAAATATGTACCTTATAAGCCCTGTTACATGCAGTATTCTTGAATAATACCCACTGTATATCTGTAAACAAACGTTGGCCACATGATAGTATATTTATCTCCATGCAATGACTTGACATGATTGATAAATGACAATAGTGTTACTTTAATTTTGATAAAAAGCTACTGGTATAATTAGTTATTTTTATTATCTTTCAGGGGTGAAGAATTTGATGAATATTTTGATAATATGTTTTTATAAAGAAATATTTATTTAAAGAATTTAAAGAATTACGAGTGTTAAAATTCCTATATTGGATTTTTTTTAATATGTTAACTGTGATATCATTGTCATTATGTATATTATCATCTACCATTATGTCTATTATTATCATGCACCATTATGTATATTATCATGCATCATGATATATAAATGTATAGTCATTGAATGTTAAAACATCAATAAAGAAGAAAAACCAGACGATATGTTTTTGTAGTATTTACCAATGTAATTATTGGTAATTGTGATGTATAGCAAGAAACAATTTTGAAAGGGATTTGATGAACCACTTTTGCATGAACAGTAGAGAAAGATTGGAATTATATTATCCGCCTCTTTCCGTAAATCTCTACCTAGTCATATTCCAGTATTCTTTAAAGATGATTAGGACTACAGTTTTCTGTAATAGGGGCATTAGTGTATTGTGAAATACTGATATATATATATATGTGTGTGTAACTTTAGAATATTATCTTATCTAAATAAGTGGGCGCATATGATTGACAAGTCTACAGATGATACTCCACGTAAGAGAATTAAATTGATTTTTCTATCTAGAACCAAGTGAGTATAGCTTGGAGAATTTGCTGTTATAGCGAGGTTTTAAAGTGATATATTAGACATTTTGAAGATGGGTCTTAATGCATATTTAAGATGTTAAAGATTATTATCTTGTATGGAATGATTGAATATGGTAGGGCTCACTATGAATAATATTGACTTCCTAACTGTATATACCACTTCCATTAATGTTGGTAAGTAATGGTAGTTGAAAGTGGATACAAGACCAAAGAGGTGGTGGTATATCTTTATTTCAACAATTCCCTTGCCTTTTTTTTTAGGAATGACAGGAAACCCACGAACCAAGGGAAAACTCACGAGGTTATACATGCCCCCCCCCTCTTCACACGACACACACATCTTTCATGTATACAAACCGGGCACGGAAAGCACTAAATTTGTCTCAATGATATAAAGCTCACTGGTTATCCCACTCCGCCCCCCTGTTCCGACAGACAGACATGTGTGATGACATCATATGTTCATAATACATCTAGGAGTATAAAAATGAAAATAAGTTATTGTGATAATATTTATTCCTCGTGTTCCTTGTGGGTACAATGTATAACATTGTTTTATCATAAGTTAACATTAAAGGTGCATACCCTGCATAATATCAACAACAAAAATAATAGCATTATTAAAACTAATTAATTACAAGTATAAACATTTTAAACCACCAGAGTCTGTATTTTATCGCTATCTGTATTATTAAACTCGACATAAGACATCTGTTCAGATTAAACAGTATTAATGTATTACAAAACATCATTATCCCAGTCGGTGCAAAACAGTAGGGCGTTAAGCCCCATTTTATTCCATTTCAATTCAAAGGTCCAGCGAACTATATCCATTCATACCTTGAAATTTCCATATTTACTCGCCGTGGGAAAGCGCAGCTTAATGGTGTCGGGTTCCTGGGGGATCGCCTTCAATATTATGTTATTAAACGTGAAAGGAACGTATTGTTGGCTTAAATAGCAGTTCATTAGCACACTATCCCGCAATGTAGAGCTGCTATATGCCTTGGATATACTAGTATTTTGACATACGAATGTGTGAAATTCCTATAGGATGGACATTTAATTAAATAAATGCTATTAATCGAAACAATTTTATGTTCTAATATTTCTTGTAATTCCTAAATACTAGAGTAGTATTTGACATAATGTTATCTACAAGTACTAAATATAGATATTAACTATGATATTAGTGAAATATATATTGCACTTCAAGTTGATATGATCACAGTATAGTGGGTATTAATGTGGTTTATCTTAGACAGGTTTATTGTTTAAAGGTGTATTACCCTTATTTTCATGGATTTTGTCACAAGTAATACTGATTAATAGGAACCAATTAAGATTCCCGTTTTGCAGTAAAATTCTCCTAATTAATCTCTTTTTAAATTCTAGTATAAACTCAGTTTGTGTAAATGGTTTAACACAAGAACTCAGAATGTACACTATACGCTTAAACATTTAATATCACAGAATTTGATTTATAAAGTAAGAAATAATGATAATAAAAATAATAATAACTATGAACAAAATAATAATAACTATGAACAAAATAATAATAACTATGAACAAAAACGAATTGGGTATCTATTTAAAACAAATCATTTATACACATAAATGAATAAGCCTATACATTAATTGACAATATAAATTCTACATAATATCTACAATAATACTTAATATAAGAAAATAGTAAATGCATTTTATATATCAACATATTATTTTAGCGAATATATATGAACTTTGTCATTGAATACACAAAACAAGTCTGCGCGGAAAAGCAATGAACCCGCTTTGCCTCTTGTCCCATCAATTAACGTGCCGAACAAAATATAAGAAGGAAAAAAAGAGTTCTTTTTAAAAATATATATATCTCTATTTCAAAAATGTTTTCTTTACAGAATAATATTGATGCACTGGTTTGGAAGAAAATTTGATTTTTCGTGGATGGATTAGTTCTTCAAAGATTTATTTCTTTATATACCTGTGACTGATCGTCTAAAATATTGGTTCCCCCTTGTCAGTGATGCAGGGCGGAGGGCCTGACAAGGACAGCTGTCTAGTCCTTCGGATGATACGAAAAACCGAGGTCCCGTGCATACATTGGAATGCACGTAAAAGATCCCTTGGCAATTGGAATTCGATATAAGAGTAGGCGATAGTGCCGCTGCCCGGGCAAAATTTCTCTCATAGCACACTGTATGGCGTATGCCCGTCTTCATTAGCCCAGCATAGGAGCAGAACAGTAGGACGTTAAACCCCATTTCATTTCATTCATTTCTAAAATATTGGACTGAATTACACCATAATATTTTATTTTCTTAAAGATGAATTATGTGAGCGTTAAATCTGCACATGACAGGTCTTTATTTTGGCTTCAGATGTTATATAAATTATTATTTAGACATTTAATAAAACGACAAACCCATAATCAACCCTCTAGTCTTGTTTGTCTAGTACCGTTGCTACGATAATAAAAAATCTACGCTATATCTTCCAAAACTCATAACTTCGCTCAGGTTGAATGAAATTTTCATTATATTCAATATTTTCATTATCTATTTTTGAACTATTATAGCAAACAATAGTGGACACGTAGGATTCATACCCCTCAATCCCGTCATATAATAGACTGATTAATTATTTAGATAACTGAATGTTTATTATGAACACAATGGATAGGTTTGGGTCTAAAAGACAAAATATGAGACACTGTCGTGTAAATGTACATTAACTACATATAATATTATAATTATTCTGATATGTAATACGAAAACTTATACAGAACCATATAATAATCTCACAAAAGAAATGTTCTCATTTAAGATGTATAATTACATATGTATGTGAATTATCTTTAATTGCTTTGTATAGTTCCTTTTTCTCCAAAAAATCACATATATTTTTTTTTTCAATTACCTTTCTTATTTGTTATCTTATTTATTATAAGTAATCTTTGTTCATTTTGATTAAGAAAAACGTGACTTTCCATGTTTTTCAAACAAATATCTAATCAATGTTACACCGTACAGCATTCATTATACAGATACGAATTTCGTTTCGTTTTTATATAATATTCTGGCTCATCTTTCAAATGCGAACTACAAAAAGGAAAACGAAAAGAAATTCTATCCGTGTTTTAAAGGCTCAATACCACTCTTGTTGTAACTGAATAATATGTCCCAATCTTTATTCTGGTCAACAAATTGTACTATTTTAGAATATTTCAATTAATTGATGATACAAATTTCATCTTAACACACCTTATTTAAAAATTTTAAAAAATTCAACATAATGGTTTGAAACGTCTAACGTAAACCTTTTCAAATGAAACTTCAATTTAAAAATATTTTCGAACCCTCTGGACAAGTAAAATTGGATGTAATGGATAATTTACACAACAGGTAGGACACTTAAACATCTAGTACTTAGATAGAGATATTATTTATTTTCTGGAGCTTTCAAGCCAGCAAGAGTGTTATTGTCCCTTTAATCATATTAATTTCCAAGTATTAGCAATACATGCATATTGATTCTGTTGTTGGCACCAACATCATATACACTGACACTGACACTGTACACTTAATCTTACTTCCAGATTAGAAGACTTATAGAACTTCTGTCCTGAAATCTCTATTCTTAACTTAACGCGTCACATATGCACAGAAATCAAAGGACTACCCAACATAAAAAGGTATTGCTTTTAGGTGAAATTTCTCACTCCTTCGTCTTAAGGATATTGCAGATTGGCACTGACGTACAACGAGTCAATATACTGTAAATCAGTAAACATCTATTGATAAATTTGATAATTTTAGCGATTCAGATTGCAACCCGGTCATCATCAATTCCGTTTTCCTTCCATGCCTGGTCCGTCTGTCTCAGATGAGAGCAGCGAAGCATTATCACCGTCTTTAAACATTTCCGAGTCTACCCTAATTATTCAGGGCGCATTTGTGTACAATTTGTGTTACGTGACTAGTTAATAAGGGTTGATCCAGGGATTGCTACTTAGACCAACCTGTTAAACATCAAACATAAATGTGATTGGAAACATATATTTGTGCTGATTTGTATAATACAGACTTCAATAGCAGTTAGATTTCATAAATTGAATTAAATTAATAAGTATGTCAAGTTATTACACAAAATCCACTTTTTTGTTTTTTGGAATGCGAACCATTCTGTATTTTACACGGTGTGTGATCGTCGAGTGCCATTTTAGACGCATGTGCTTTAGAACTGGAGTGCTGTGATTTAGAGTGATGGTGGTGATCGGTGATCTGCAAAATAATTGAAAAGAGTGAATCTTGTAATCAAATAATGACATGCAATTTCAGATCAGAGCTTAATAGACAAAGACACTAATTAATAAGAGGCAAACCACAATAGCAACACATGACCCGAAGGGAAATCCACAGAAGATTCACAATTTCAAAATCGTTTGATTATTGTATGATATAATTGTGTGTTATTTCTATAAATCACAGAAAGTCGTTGACCTTACAGCTGTTTTGATTTGTTTACTAGGTCGTCATTGGTTACATTTGAAAACGTTTAAAGACTATATAATATAGTTTACAAGGATGTGTTATTATTGTGTATATTATAAACATACTTGTGATTTAGTTGTTTGAATAATGATGCCATTAGGTGAATGTGTAGGTAAACTGGTTTTAGTATTATGTACATTAGTTTTATTTACATCCTCAACTTCCGGCTTTATAACTTTACGTTTCTCTTCTACTTCACTTTTGTTGTTTTCTTGTGGCTGTGCTTCAACTTTTGGTTTTTCGAGTTCTTTGGCTATAAATGAAAATATTTTTTTTTTCATAAATCACATTCAAAGCATCAAAATCGCACAGCTAATGAGTTAATTATTGACAGTCTATGAAAAGTGGTACACTTGTTATTTACATTTTGTATTTAATACACAAAATGCATGGAACACCTATAATATTAACGTTTGTTTTTTTTATATAATATTCACAGTGCTATCATATTTAAATTAACAGACATACTTAAAGTCTCAGAAGCTATAATCTCCATGTGAATTTCTCGTATTCTTTATACGGTTTTCTCGGGTCACATGGGTTTCTAATGTTTAGAACACAGTATATAGGTAATTGACTAGCAGCAAGGAGAGAGAGAGAGAGAGAGAGAGAGAGAGGGAGGGAGGGAGGATTTAACGTCCACTCGACACAAACAAGGTCACTTCGGGACTAACACATGGTTCAGTATTAATTAACTATAATCCATTGCGCGTAGGGGTCTTTAGCAGTGGGGGTGGGGGGACCGGAGGTTCGACAGGTGACCCTACTCTTTGTCACGTACAACCGGGGAATCGAAACCACACCAGATGACTCGACGAGACCTTGCGATACAACGCACACGCCCTAACCATTCGGCCATCCAACCCCCCAGAAGCAAGTATAAGTCATTATGTAAATCAGTAAATCAGATTAATTACTAAAAACAGAATTATGACAAGTTATTGCTGAATATTAAAAGTTACACCAGCAAATTCTACGTGTTTGTACCTTAACCCCCACCCCACACAAACGCACACACTCTTTTATAATTGGACGATGACTATTTTCATGAAATTGTTGAAACATTGGTTACCACATAAAATGTTCTAAATAGTATTTAAAGTGACATTAATCACTCTCACGATGAAAATAAATTTGACTAAGTTTAAATAATATATTTAATATCAAAAATAACCTTAGACCCAAGCGTTCGTTAAATCTCTTCAAAATCACTAATAAAATCTGTGAATCTCGTAAATTGAAATTTGAAAACATCTATAACTTGACAGAATTGTCTCACCAACCAATGAAAACTCGAAAGTGCTTACGCCTCTTTAAATATTCCCTCGTATTAAAATGATTATTGTTACATTTTCTCGTTAATAAATAATAAAAAAAAAATCTCGATCGTAAAATCAATTGCGATTCGTGTTGGAATTAAAAGTTTACCTGGACGCCACAGATCAATAAAGTTATAAAAGAGAAACAAGACAACAATGGAATGAAGAAATTAAATACAGTTTTAAATAGAGTTATGTAATATACTGGTTATCAATTTTAGTAATGAATATCAATAACAGAGAAATAAATCATCTTATTAAAAATCTTAATTTCGTGCGATAATTACTGATTAAAGATCTAATGATACCATTCATGATTAGAATATCAAGACGCCAATGTCATTATCATCGACGATGATTAATATTCAATATCTTTTGGTCACGATGGGCATCATTAGGTGAATTCATGATATTCACGAAGATACTCAAATCAATGTTATCAAATTAAATTGTGTACAACCAGTGACATAGTTCTAATCATAATCTAATCGCATTAAACCAAATTAAGATTTTCTGTTCGTTTAATACAACTGCAGTGGCAGATTTAACCGAACTCTGTCGTCTATGACCTTTAATTATTATATTATCTATCGTGATATTCAGATCACCTTGGGCCAAAAATAGAATTCCTAAAGAAACTAATAAGCAGGATATTTTAATTAATGCTGTGAATACTACGAATATGATCACAACACTGCACCGTTGAACGTCCATTGTTTTTGACTCAATTAATGGTGCTAAATTATACACAAGATGATCAGATTTTTTTCAAACCATAGTTAATTAACGTAATCAGAGAATCTCTTATTCTTGTCGGGTCACGGACAACAGAGTTTGATTTTTCTTCTAAATAGATAAATATAGACTGTATAAAGGGTTATAAATAAAGGGTTATAAAAAAAGTTAGAAAAAAACTGCTATTTTCCAATGTATATGGGGGGACAGAAAATAGCTAGACCTCGGTGGCACCTTGTTCTTTAGTCGCTTTATCCATGTTGTCCCAATGAGTTCGGTTCTGTAAACATCCGCCATACAAAGGTTCCAGTTTAGGATTCATATCAGCAAATAACTGTCGAAAAATAAAATTCAGTTTGTTCGCGCTTAATATACAATATAAATCAAGCTTTAATCGCATCATACAGTTTTAAAGAGACATTATACCTAAGAAAATAACTTCTTTTTTTAAATCAATATATCCTCAAGTTCATTACATTCAGACATTCAACGTTTTTTTCTGCAGCAAAATGTCACTTTAACACTGTAATACAGGATACATTACTGGGTGTAGGGGGTCGAGTTAAAGACAAAGGGAGGAGAAAGAAAGACATGTTTAAAACAGTAGGTACAATTATTAAGGTTTCAGAGAACAATTAAGGATTGAGAGAGAGAGAGAGAGAGGGGGAGACAGAGAGAGAGAGAGAGCTGTATTAAGGACTAGTAAATATAAATATATAGTATAAAGTACTATAATTAAAAGAAAGAGAGAGAGGGAGAGAGAGGGAGAGAGTAATGACACGAGCAATAGATAATGAAAAGTCAGAAGAAATGGGAGTAAGGTGAACGAGAATGAAAAAGATCACAGAAGAAAAGCTTACTTGGGGATTATAAATATTAAAGGACAGCAAAATGGCATATACAGACGAAGAAATTCAGGCCGGGAAAACGGTTAGGAAAGAGATACGAAACAAGACAGATAAAGCAGGCAAGTTTGTGACATATAAGAAGCTTGCATGCACATACATTCATAGTGTTTTATGTGACACTCTCAACTAGCCATAAAATCTGACAGCCATCTTGTTGCTTGGCAACACTAGTTTTTCTCTTCAAATAGCTCTACAAAAAGCCCTTACTTTAAAGCTCTATGTATTATTTGATAGTGCTTGTGCCTAGTGCCACGACGTCTATAGGAATAAGAAACGTTATATCACCTAACCAGAATGAATACTGGCTGTTTCAGACATGTCTTGCCAATGAATTTTGTTTGTCTGACAACCAGTATACAACGGTTCCAACTTGGGCCATATGTCACAAAACATCTTAAAAGATTGAGATAAGCATAAAAAGAAAATGTGAAGGACATTAGAAAAATATATTATGAGAATTAATTCCACTTCAAACTTTAAAATCATAATTTTAAAAAAAATAGACATATAACGAATTTCTTCTTCAAGATTTTGATTTTAATTCAAAATGATATATTATTCTATTTAGAAACACCAGCTGCTATGATTGCTTTCATGATTTAATACTCCAAATTTTAGACATACTATTGGGATGACAAATGCTTTATTCTAAATGAATTTCAAAACTTGATAATGCAATTTCAGTACATATATGAATTACTCTAAATAGAATAATATAAGAACTGATGTAATACATTTAACGCCTTAAGTAAGTAAAGTTTATTTACCTTATATACAGGTAAACATATAGCATCTATAAATCCAACTTGCATCTTTGGGAGTTCGTCTTTTTTATCTCTATCCATCATAGGCTGAAATATGTTTAATTATTATTTAATCTCTGTATACACGCGTTAACCATTCGGCCACCCAACTCCACGATAGCCACAAGGAAACAGGTGTAATTGATTTTATGAAATATCTAGTTTAAAATAGTCTTAGACTGACGTAATTCTCTAAAATCCAAACAATGGCCTACTGCAAGAGCCACTCGTTTTGCACAATCTCTGCTTACTCCTAGAAAACCACTAATGTATAGGACTCTGTATCTCTGCATATGTAAAATCAAGGCAAATCGAAAAGTATATTTTTACAAATCAGCGAAGGTCACCAAGCACTACTTTCCCTTTAAGTTACAGCCATTTTTTATTGATATGAATTACTATCTAACAATGTAAATATTTAAGGTTCCACGAGAAATAAACTGTTATTTACCATAGGCTTTTCTCCTAATTGTGTTTTTTCTAGATCACCCTGTTCAAAGAACTCATTAGCTACAAGCTGTGCTACCTGTTGCTGTACTTCCCATGGTTTAGTTATAGCTGCCACATCACATGCTGTCATCATCATAGCTCTGTTAAATACAAAAACAAAAATATTTAACTTTATAATAGTTTAGGTCTTTATGCTCTGTATTGTACATGTTCGCATGAATAAACTTTCTGGAACATCTGATATCACTTCGTGTTGTACGGTTTCGGAACGTTCCAAAACAAAATACTAGGCCCTTCTAAAATGATCAACCAGCTATACATATTTCATTAAAGGATTTCATTTTCCGTTGCATGGGTTGTTAGAACTTGTTACCAATGCAAGTATACAGCATTTGGGGAATTTGGGGAATCAGCAACAACACCACATGGTAACTGAAAGCAGGTTTGTCTTCGCAAACGTATCTCATATCTCCATAAGATTGGTATAAAGAATCTAAAGAGGCTGTAGAAAAAAAGGACCCCAAGAGATTTTACGAAAAAGATTTCCCCAAGAAACGTTATGAAAAAGGTTCCCCCAAGAGACTTTAGGAAACCAATTCTCAAGAGACTTTCACACACAACTAACTAGTTGTATTTACTAAAACATACGAGACTCGTCCTTTAATCATTTCATTTTCTTAATGGCATGAAATGTTCATATCACAAAATTAGTAAGATTTGAACTCTTAAACAAAAATTTCTGCGTTTCATAGGTTAATTCGTGGAAAATACTAAAGAAGATTTTGATAAAAGGCGATGACCAATATGTAAGCTGATTGATGGATTTCATATAGCAAAGTTGCTAGTATTTAATACTAACGCTAATGAGTTCTGCTAGAGTTTATGGCTTATCTAAACGAATTCTTCACATCAAATTAATGTTGGCAAGTCCAATTTCTCCTTAATCTTTCTTTAGTTAAGCTTTCAATATCCATTTAAGACTTGATGTATTGGTTTTATCGCGCTATAATCTGAAGCGAGTTTCTTGATGATATTAAAATTTACTTAATATTCATATGATTATAAGATAGGGTGGCAGGGTTGAAGCCATTAACGAAGAAGATGATTTCGTAAAACATGCAAATGTGCATTTAATTCGTAATAGAGTCGCTAGTAATCTGGAAGAGAATGCCAGAATTGCACGGTGACCGATTTGACTGTCGTTTCATTAGCAGATTACTACCGTAATAATATCAAATGGTAGAAACTCGTGTTTTGTTTTAATGTGGTAGAAAATGGAAATGGTATTCAGATATTAGCGCGATTGAATATTGTTAATATTGGGTAAGCAGGCGATTTTATGTATTACGAATAACCGTTCATATGAGAAAATGGTTATTATTTTGTATGTGAGATAGTTCAATTAATCATTGTGAATCTGCATGAATCTTTTTAAAATAATAGATGCGTGCTTTATTCATATAAAAATCCACAGAATAGCCAACAGATCAACGATTTATACACGATGATAAAAACGTTCGGTTGTAAACACATCGAAGGAAAGAAAATTGGTAACGCTTTCATAATGGCATGTATCAAGGGATTATAACAGTCATCATAATACAATAAAAATGTAATTTAGGTTTTCCCGTGATAAGACATTTTTAACAGTATTTCTCCTAGTGCTGGTGGTGTTGAAATTAGAAGTGTTCTACGCGCTCCGAATCGAATCGAATCCAGTCTAAGCACAATCGAATTAGGCTCGAGATCAAATGCTTATAATTGAAACCCATTTCCCGTGCGTTACCTGTTTCTGCTTTCGGCATTGGGTTTACCGATGCAGTACATCCCAGACAATATATATCTCTCTCTTACGCCAAGAGGTTTTAAATAAGTCAAAACAATCTTAGAAGAGTTGTCTGCCAGCATGTAGAACTTGACTTCCACCTGAACTGTGTTTTTTGCTGGTCGATGTCGTTCTGAGGTTTGGCTACGGACCCGTAGCTAGGCCAAAAATGTTGGGGATAAGGGGGGGGGGGGGGCAAGGGCTTCTGGGGGCGTCCCACCAACCATGTCATTATGGATAAGGCACCCCAAAGATCACACCGTTTTGGACGCCCCATCAATCAAGTTGTGGTGTTAATCATGTGATTCATTATGAGTCGCCTCACTGTTTAGGGGGCGCCTCATATATAAATACATGATTGGCGAAGCGCCCATAAAACCATGTAACATTGGTTGGGCGTCCCGCAAATCTCGCCGAGGGCGCCCAACAAATGTCACACGGATTTATGGGGCGTCCAATGGATTTTTTTCAGTGGGGAGGCCAGCTGTCCCCCGTCCCCTTGTTCCCTGCCCCCCCCCCCCCTCTTTAGCTACAGGTCTAGGCTAGCGTTGTTTCCTCATTTGTAGATATTTTCGCCAGTTCTGAACTTTACTTATAACCAGCTGTTGGTGCGGTGGACCAGCCGGTCTTGCCGTATCATTCATATAGTTGTCTACCTTTTGCCACACTGGATCAGATGTTGAATTAACACCCAGTGTCGTATAGTAGTTATAGGTACCAATATTCTTTCTGAGAGTGATAAATTGTGTCTTTTGTTCACAACATTATCACTCCCCAGTGTAAGGAGAAAGATTACCCTTTCTTATTGTTCTTCGACATTTGCCTGAACACCTTGCCGTGTGGGGTTTATCGTTTCGCCCAGGCGTAGTTGATTGAGCAGGGTTAATGATCATCCTGGTAACGTTAGGAGTATCAGTAGGTATTTCCGCAACATAGTCTTCATCCTGCCACTAGACTAATTCGGCTCCGACACCCTCCATGATGGATTGCCATAAATTACATACTATCATATAGCATTGTGGTGACTCATTTCCCATTGGCAGTAATTCACGATGTTGGACGAGATTAAGGTCAAATCAAAGTGACTAGCATCACCACCCGGCCTACCCGAGTCTGGGAGCAACCATCATTTATAATAGCCCCACCCCCCTGCAGGCTGTAACAACAGCGTCTCATGTTGCTATTATTATATTTTAATCTATCTAGTAATGGACGAAAGCCTGTCACTATGGTAAAAACGATTGTTGTGTAAGTGAAGCTGATATTTCTATCACGACACTTTTCATAATAATACTCGTAACCGGTAGATAATTAACACCGTCACCTTTTTAGTATCATAAATCACCTAGCCTTTGTGTTCATTTCCGTTGCGTTAGTGATATTCTAATGAAATTCGTTTTTTTTTCACAGTGATAGATCAGAAGCTAGTTGCTATCTTTTTGCTGCAGGTGTGATGAATTAGTTTGAGATTGTTTGCGTAAAAATTTCGAGTTCATTTGATAACATATCTCATATTGATTTCGTACATTGTTTTCAATTTATTAATCAATCAAAACAACCTCATTACCATGACGACGGGGATTTTTCTGTATTAGTCTATGTTTAGCTAATATATCATTAGTTGTTTAATTGATGGTTTATCGGTAAAAACAATACATATAATGAGCTGGCGGTTACCAGCCAATTAGTTGTCTACTAGATATTATACAAGACAAGCCCGCACTCTTTATATAATATAAATTGCTCACATTCTATAGTAGCTGATTAAAGACACTACAAGTTGAGATAGAGAAAGAATGGGGCTAAAAGTCCACTCGACACAAATTAGGTTATTTCGGGACTACCTTATGGTACAATTTTTAATTCAATAATGAGAATGTGTCATTAAAGTAAAAAATATTACATTTTTTTGGGTATTATGTAATTAAGTCTATCTGAGTACCGGCTTGTACGAAAAACAATTGCTAAATTATTATTACTTTTTTGCCTAAGACACGTAAAGATTGCGGTGTGAGATGAATCGAAACAAGTGTGACTTTAAATTCCCATAAGTTCAGCCAGAGTTCATCCATCTGAACAATGTTTGGACCTGAATGCTATTTGTGGTAAAAGTACCCTGAAACGCGTATTGTCTTAAAATTGAATATTTAAGGGCACGATAAAGTGACACCAACTTGTTGCAATCTCGACACTAACAGGGCTGAACATATTAATTTCCAATACAGAATAGTGGATACAAAAGTTCAAAATAAACTATACTACTCATAATACACCTTTTTACTGTCAGTACCCCTTTAAATCGTACACCCGCGTGTTATGTAAACTAAAATTTCATCACTTTTTTGCTCAATCGCGGTTAAATCTACAGATAAAACGGTAAAAGTTGAGGACAGCTATTAACTCTCTATTGGTACTCTGATCTATGTAGTACAACACTTAAGTCTTAGATTTTCAATTTGTTTCCATGTTGTGTGAGATTTCCACGTCCTTGCTACCATGTGGTTGGGTTCCGCCATTTCCTTTTCAAACTTGAAAATGATCCTTCATATCTTTTGACGAGCGATTTGAATAATCGTTAAACTGACAAAGTTTACCGGAACATTATATCGATATGTAAAGGTTTCATTTACATCACCACCATACACACAATTATACCGTATTCAGTTTAGTAATAATACGCTTGCCATTTTATAAACGTAAACAATTTTTTTTTCTTTAAAACGTGTCTTTTACCAATTTGAAACGTCTTTGAACTTATCAATGAGCAGTGTTAATTTTAAATACAAATGTTTAAATATTTAATTTAAACAACTACGGAAGATTAATTCATATCAGATTACAAATGACGAGTCATTTACGTGATTTGATAATATTAAGAAATAAATCATTCATGAACTTATTGACGTAAGCAGCACTTCTTTTGAAGCGGTAAAACGAAACAGGGAGGTAAATAAATATGCAGTATAATTATATCTTTTGACTTACACCATTTCAGTTATCGAGAAAGCGGGTGGTAAATCGTAGTATTATAGACCATTGACCTTCATTTGCAAGAACTGTCACTTTTTTAATATTAACATTATGCATATAGAGCGTTCTAAAAATTGCTAAAAACCGAACTGTCAATATCTAAGCCATCATGGCTTCCGTTGTCAAGTGTTGGTGTTATCAAAAAGGCTTGTTTCTAAATTTTGGATAGCTTATTATTAATTTATGTTAGAATAATAAGCATTTGGAGGGTTTGATATAGCAATTGTTATATAAATATAATTTTTGTAGGGCAAATTATTTTCTATGGAGTACCATTTGCTACACATCGTATTTTCCAATCAATCATTCAGTTGACGTTACCACATTGAACAGCGGACTATTGGTGTTTTGAGTTAGAATAAATATGAAATAAAATTTCTTACAAAATATTTTACTATAAAAGATGATGTTTGTGATGGTACTCCATACAAAAAGTCTAAAAGTAGTCCCTTGAAAAAAATGGAGGATATTAGAAAAATAATAGTTTGATTTTATGGACATGGTGTGCTAAAACAAAGATAGTTTTCAACATTTGAACTCTATTTGGTTGTAGTGTATATTCAGGCATCCCAGGGAGACTGTAATTCCCCATGATGTGTTGTTTACCCTGTTGCTGCGCAGTGTTGACTGGTACATTTGATTCATATTTTCCAAAGTTACAAATTCCAGTCATTATTTTTTTATTTTCATCCATTTTTTATTGTTCAGTATCATCTCAAGCACATAATTTAGATACCCCCCAAAAAAACCCAGGCACTAAAGCTTTTGAGGACCCCATATCAAGTGATGTGACAATTTTTGTCTCTTTAAATTGCCCTTAACTGATATTCTGGTATACAGGGGCTTTAAAGTGATATTCATCACTATTGACTTATTTTAGATCGACAATATTTAAAGATCTCTTTAAATTGCCCTTAACTGATATTCTGGTATACAGGGGCTTTAAAGTGATATTCATCACTATTGACTTATTTTAGATCGACAATATTTAAAGATCGAGTGGACCGATAATCTCTAAGGGAAGATGCTAAATATGTAGATCACAGCAGACTAATAACCGGAATACACGGAAATTGGCCATATTTATCTGGTATCTTTGGATAAAATTCCTTCCCACAAACTATAACCGGACATGCTAAATTTGTCCAAACATGGCACACATATAACCTGAAATTGACGACGCATTTCATATATTTGGCCACTGTCGGCCATGTTTACGAGCATCAAAATATGACCTCTTCATGTGAAATTTCTTCATGGTGTTATCGAGAAAATTATTTACCCAATGGTCGATAATATTTTGTTTTATAAATTAGGTATGTAACATATATTGTAAAATGGTCGTTATCCAAATGCTAATTTTCAATACAAAACTGGTATAAATATCGAGACTGAGATTTATTGAAGTGGAAGCCCAGTTTTTACATTGCCTCTTCTAGAAAAGGGCCAAAATGTATAATACATATACATATTATACACAAATAAAATAATTGAGAACCCATTGAATAATTTGCAACGGCTGGTTATCGAGAGTTAATACTGAAACCCTGATATCATAACCACAAAACTAATGTGTTTTACAAGAAGACGCTTATGGCAGTTCGAAAACATGAAAAAAATGCTTATCCGGTTTTGAGATTTTAATCTGATCTTTTTTTTTACAAAAACCCAGAGGCACGATTTTGTGCAAAAACGGTAACCATTATAAGATTGGGGGTACAGAGTCAGAAACAGGATGTTTAAAAGACGATGTTTAATGTCACAAATGAATCGATGTATACAAAAAACTGTTATTTGGTGATACAAGATTATCAGGATGATTAGAATGAATATCTATTTCTGGAACAACTTTCTTTGTTGTCAAAATAGATCAGACACATGATTGAGTTGACGAATAATATTGCAATTTAATTGACATAAAATGACTTGTTGATAAACATGAATAGATAAAGGGTCTGTTAATGAGGGACCCACATACTATCCTCTATGTTCTTTCGATTTCATATCTACCTTAATCAAGTTGACATTAAAAAAACACTCGTATTGATTGCCATTATGGATCTCTGTACAGTTAAATTATAAGGCTCTCTTTCAGATACACTATTAATACGTACCAATTTCAATAATTAGCAACTAAAATCAAATCCGGCGATGCTAAAGAAAATCACAGATCAGTGTAATCAGTGTAATAACAGTCAGCTAGTCAGTTTGATAAGTGTTCCAAAAGTAAATTAGTATCAGGTGTTCCAAAAAGAGTAAACGTTGTAACCATGGCTACTATATATTTAAACTATAAACAGGAAAGTGGTCTTTAGTGTATCATTGATGCAATCCAACAGATAGACCTAAAAAACTAGTGTATGTGGTGTGGACCGTAACCTCAACTCAGATCATAAAACCATCAATGGAAAAATAACATCCCTTTTTCATTTTAAAGAAAGTTTACTTACTTTAGTAAATCTTTTTTATATGGTTCATCAAACTTCTTCTCTCCATTTTCTATCAACGACTTGAAATCACCTCTTTTTCTATAAAACAAAACGAGAGGCACGTCAAACAAAAAAATAAATTATCCTTTAATCGAGAAGACAATCATTACATTACAGCAATTATGGCATTACTTAAATAACACCCGTGTCGCATAAACAATTACACAAGACAAACCCACGGACAAGACACACAATATATACAGATATTTCAAACAACGGTAGCCGTAAGATGAAAACAAACTAACCATACAGGAAACAATCCACGAAAAAAGGTTGGAAAATATATCCAAGGATTATTGTAACTGATCTTTGAACTGATATAAATTCACTGATATAACACCATGAAACATGCCAAACAGATAGATATCCAATATACTGCCACAGTCCACTCAAACTAGGCTGAATAAATTAAGCTGTTTTTCCATTCAAATCTCTGACAGGGAAGGGTAACGATTAAATACTTACTTAAAATATAAAGCTAAATCTGTAGAGAGAATAGCATGTTCTAATGTTTTAATAGCATTTCTATATTCTGTCGGCGATAAAGACTGAAATATGTTGTTACCCTGAAATAGAAAGTGCATGTTTAACGGTATAGTTTACGTTTTAAGGACACTCCTCCAACTAAGCAGGGGAGGTTATTCACGATTAAGTTTTAAGACTTATTGTCTCGTTTTCCCTTCTCTAGTGACATTCAATTACTTTTTTGAATTATCAGATGACCTCCAACAGCCTCACATAACAACTTTTGATATTTCAAGGAATTATTAGTCAGCAGAAATTCGCTCGTGTATCTGTTATCACTCGTCACTTCCGTCATTTATATAGAAGATAACTCGTGTTTTCCTTTTGCGTTCGTCACTTCCCTTTCTTGAAATCTTCATAACGCATCTATCGTAGCAATGATCTCTGTGTTAAAATTATAATTGGAACACGTGTTTAACCAGTTCTATCACCTATGTGGTAATGACTGACACCAATATTGTCCTTTAATTCAGCAGTATAAATATTAATGAGTTATTTGCTTGACTAATCAAGCCGAGAGAAAGCGACAGAAACAGCTTCTTCTACTTTTAACTTTTTAATTTTGCATATTACTAGTATTATAACATGGAAGATCTACATACCTCACTATTAAGTATCATAATGCAATGATCAAAATGATGATGCTCTAGCACGGAGGTACTGTATAACATAGCTAATGGACTGGCAACTCTGTAAAATACATACAATATTAACATTAGATGAACGTCACCTCTATATTGTCGTAAACACAAATATTGATAATTATTAGCAATATTGATTACAACATAACATGAGATTCATTTTTCTTTATGAAGAAAATAACCCAGGAAATTGTCAATAATCGATTTTCTTAAAGAAGAACGCCATACGTTTTTATTCCAATCATATAAAACCGTACTTATAATGTTCACTACAAAAATAGATTTTGAATTGCTCGGCCGTCGGTTGAGCGCATGCGCGCATTGTAGATTTCGTTTTCTGGGAATAGGATTGTCTTGATTAAAATGAAATGGAATGGGGTTTAACATCCTACTGTTCTGCTCTGATTGGGCTAATGAAGACGATATTTCCTTGATTAAAATTAAAGAGACAGACAATCAAACATTTTCAAAGTCTCCATATATTATGTTGTAGAAAGTTAATAAAATATTTCTCCTCGAAGCAACATCTGGAAAATCAGAAACAGAGAAAACATTAGGAATTCTCTTCGACAGAATATTAATATTTCGTCATAGTTATATCCACAGCTTGTGCGATGCATCGGATTAAACATTCAGTATTTTTCTTGTGAGACGTAAGTGGTAGTAAGTGTTCTAGAATTTAGAAATAGTACGCATGCACTGTCTTGCGTCGTACAATCTATTTATATGATCGGGGAACATCAGTACGTGAAGTACGAATTAAAATTAACACCAACTGATCAATACTTACTTGACTTGGAATGCATTATTGGTACCTCTATGATCCAAATCATGACATAAACAGGCTACCATCATGGCAAACACCTCGAGATCTTCAAATACTGGTCTCAATTCACCAGTCTGAAAGAAAAATATTATGACGTATTTATAGACGAGATTATTGTAGTTGACACGGATCTGAGGCTATCTGAACAACATCTTTATTGAAATTGAGAATCATTTGTTTTTGATCATTTACTTTTATCAAATAAAAACTAACTTCTTCTATTGCCCCAACATCTTTCTCAACACCTGATCTTGTTCAAGTTGAAACAACACCTAGTCTTGGTCAACTTTACTAAATGATTTGTAGAAACACTATCTGACGTTTGTCGAAACACCATCTTACGCTTGTCGAAACACCTCTTCATGTTTGTCAGAAACATCATCTGATGTTTGTTTAAACATCTATTTATGTGTCCAAACATCATCTGATGTCTGCCGAAACACCATCTGATGTTTGCCGAAGCACCATAAAATCCTTGTCGAAACACCATCTAATTTTTCTTCGAAACACCATCTAATTTTTCTTCGAAACACCATCTGATTATTGTCGAAACACCATCTGAGTTTTGTCGAAACACTATCTGAGTTTAGTCGAAACACCATCTAATCTTTGTCGAAACACCATCTGATTTTTGTCGAAGCACAATCTAATCTTAGTCGAAACACCATCTAATCTTCGTCGAAACACAATCTGATCTTTGCCGAAAAACCATTTTACCTTTGTGGAAACACCATTTGATCTTTGTCGAAACACCATCTGATCTTTTTCGAAACACCATCTGCTAGTCGAAACAACATCTGATCTTTGTCAAAACACAATATAATCTTTGTCGAAACGCCATTGATTTTTGTCGAAACACCATGTATGCTAGTCGAACGATGTCATCTGATCATGGTCGATATCCCATAGAATTTGTCATCTGATTTTGATCAACAACATCACTGACCTTGATCATCAATAGCATGCTGTTGATCAACACCATATGATCTTAGTGCAAATGGTTATACGTGATTCTGATCGATAAAACCGACTAACAGTCATTCGATCTCAATCAATTAAGATCATTCAAACTTAATCTTATTTAATACAAGTACATCTAAATGGATGTCTTTATACTTACATATAACATTGTAAACATGGTTTGGCACACATTAAAGGCATGTCGCCAATTATGATAGGTGACAGGACGGTAATTCTTCTTCACACTACAAATCCAACGACACATAACCTACAAAATATATACAATCATCTTATTATCATTCCATATACCAGCGGCACTTGGATTAGGTGGGTATAAATGTACGAAACTAATGGCAATCAAGTGATATCAAAGTGGTGACAAGTTAGATTAGAAACGATTACTGTCAGTAACATGGATTTAAGAACCGTCATTAGCAAGGAAATGGAATGGAGGTGAAATCCGGTAACTTCAGCGACACACTTACAGCAATGACAAGGCAATTAGTTGGAGCACGATATCACTACATTAACTTGGATACACAGCTCTTAATGTTGTCATAAATGCGAAACTAAACTATTCCTTACCTCCACCGGTATTTTAAACGTATTGATGACGTCAGCATCCGTAAACATTCGTATCACAGCTTTTAATGTTCCATCGTCAGGTAATGGAATATCATCAAAATCAAAACTGTAGAGACGCAGATCTCCGGCCGACGGCAATGGATCTTTCTGTGAAAATAAATAAACATTTTATCTAAGTGGAGAAGATTTATAGACGTTTTAACACTCGCGGGCTGTCTACGTTTTAAAAAGGACGCAATTTATTGCATTTACAATACTTGTGGAAAGTAAGCGTAGGCCTATGAAAAATTATAAATCGATCGATAGAATATACTTTAAAAATCAATCTTATTTTGTTTTTGTTCATTAGATTCTCGAATTTTTCAATATCATTCTGCAAGTCGAACAAATCAAATGAAAATTGCGTTTAGCCTTCAGATCTGTAAGAGAGGGATTTTATATATAAAAAGATAACCAAGTAACACTCTATATATAGATGGGTTAGTACAAAGGACAGAAAATGATGACGGTAATGTCCATAAAAGTAAGTTGAAGTTTCAGACATTAATTGCGTGGAACTGTGTGATCTTAAAATTAGCAGTAACAAAAACGCTTTAACAGGTTATATCACGACGTAATGATATAAAAACGTAAAGGGTGTAATAGACAATAAGTGGGCGATAGTAGACGATTCTCATTAATATCATTGTCTAACTTTAAGATATCTCCAATTGATTAGCTTCTAGCTTTATCTTACCAATAATTTGGCGGCTTCCTCCGTCTGAGCTGTTGCGTGATACGATAAAACCTCTAAAGCTACACTTTGTTTGGCCATTAACCTACAAGCGTTCTCATACATCTGACAATTGTGGATACCCAAACCGGTAAATATGGAGAAGGCCTAAAAAAAAAATAATGTCTCTCTCTTTATGGCGTGTCGTATTTATGGAGAATCAATCATAAGGTATTACAACACTAATTCCAACATCTAAAGCTTGCCAAGATTTTTACGGGATTTTTTTAGTAAGTGATATGCCGCCTGTCTGTAGAACACCTGTAAGCTGCTGCTCGTTAATGCTTGTTACGAAAACATAACCACGGTCTCATATTGCCCAATCATCTTTTGTATTGGTATTAAAAGCCAAAAAAAGAACAAAAATGGAAGCCTGATAACGACACAAATATTGGACTTGAACGTACAGTCCCGGACATAATATTTAGTTGGCAGTTCGAGACTCATTTAATTGCGGTGAAACGATTTTCATCTTATAGTAAGTGCAGGAGGACCGCACTACACGTAAAACAAAAATATACAAGATAAACCTGCGGACAAGACAGAAAATAGACATTGCACCAAATAAACAAATATCAAATTAAGTGAATGGATCCGGGGGCCAGCCGTAACCGTCCACTGCGCTTTTTAAATGTACAGTCTCGGACACCATAATCAGTTGAACGTTGAGACATATATGGCTAAAAGTTGGACTAATAGGTACAGCCCGGACACTCAGTTAATGGCGGTTTGAAGATTGCCATCTGATGTGGTTGAAAGTTGCCATAACTCCAGCATAGCGGAAGGTACCTAGGAGGTTAGATCTGACTTATTTACAAAGCAGTAATATGCACTAATAGTGTTACTCCCATGTTACTATTTTTCATAGCACCTTTTCTTTAAACAATATTAACCAAGTTTTGAGTATGTATCAACTAAAGTTACACCGGCGTCAGATATATCGTTTACAAATGTTTACTAAAAAGTTGAAAGGCCGACAAAAAAGCTGAAACCTCCAAGGTCATTCTGGCGTAATAATAAGCAAGCAAGGGGAGTATTTAATGGGATAAAGTACAGCAACAAGAACACGAGAATTACGAGGACATGAAACTTCTTAAAGATGTAAGATTTAGTTGAAGAGCTGACCGTTTTTGCTATAATAGTCCAAAAATAAACACTTAAGAATTACTTTAATCTGTACGAAGTAATGCGTGTTTTAAGTTTTAACAAGATAGTCTCGATTATCGAGTAACATTCTCGAGATAATAAACAAAGTCTCGATTATCCATTGTATCGTAAAATTTTAAATGGCGAGAGGATTCCATTCCATTAAAGATCTAAGGCATTCGATAGGCTAGAAAGTTGATCATGGGCTTGTCATGTGATTTAACGCCCAAAAAATAATTTATATAACATTTGAAGCCAGAAAAAGAGACCTGCAATTGGCAGCTCTTACATAATGCATCTGTATAATATAAAGATATTAAATTTCACCAGGCGTTCCACAAAGTAAATGTACTCTAGTCTGTTCGACCACATGTCATTCATTGCCAATAGCTAAATAAAGTCCTTTGAATGCTTGCCTGGCAACATTTTCCGTATACTTTCAATGTTTATAATTACAAGAAAATATATGAAGAATTATTAGGAAATAGACGAGAAGTAACATTAAGTGTTATGGAAAGTAAATGGTGGATAACACGTATCATTACATATAGTTACATATGTCTGATCATCTTGATCATGCTGTGTAGTGAAGAAATACAAACAAATGCCATATAAAGATTATATAACATTTCAATGAAGCCTCCAGGCATTTACACAATTTATGATTTGCCGTCGTGCTGTCTTCGTGAAGTTTAAAAATAGCACAAATCTGTCTTAAGGCACAATCTGTATATGATATGGGAATATCATTATTCTCAGATTGAATGAATAGCGACGTAATTGATACTACGATGATAACATTAATGATAAATAATGTATGATACAATCAGAGATAAATGGTCTATTACCTCGATAATATTCTCATCATTTTCATTAAACGGTTTACCATTCTTTTTATTAATAAGTTGTGTTACACCTATTATCTTTTTATCACTGTTATTGATAGGAATACTCAAAACACTTCTGGTATGGAATCCATCTTCTTCTATGAACTACAATGAAATAAAATAAATAACTGACTTACCTAAGCCAAGCAAGAAATGTATTATTTGCAACCAGACTACAAATTATGAAAAGATGAAATAAAATAGATCGTCGACTCTTTTGAAATGAGCGAGCGAGCGAGCGAGGGAGGGTGGGGGGTTGGGGGTGTCTTCGAATGGTTAGCGTGTGCGCACTGTATCATAAGGTCTGTCATTGAGTCAGTCAACTGGCGTGGTTTCGATTCCCCGGTTGTACGTCTTAAGACTAAAAACCCTCTAAAAATTAAGACGCTAAATTCTAAATGGTTTTATTCTTCCGAACCTTAACCAATTTACAAAAGGTTAACTGGAAACGAAGCCTGAATTATTTTGATTATGTTTTGACACTACACAATACTTGATATGTATTTGTACTACGCATTTGTGACTCTAAAACTGAAGAACACAAATCGATTATCGATGAGCTTACATTTCAATTTAACATTTTTTTTTACTATTACTATGCGAGTTCTCGCGTTTCCATGGGAACAATATCAATGAGCAAGTTGGTGATTATAGAGTTTAGTAATTCCGGCAAAAAGCACTAAGTTTTAATTACCGGCTCTGATCCAAATCTTCCATCCATTTCCAGATCAGGAATGTTCATTGTCTGAAAAAAGAAAAAATCCTAACATAGAATAAAAAAGAATGCAGAGAGCATTAGAGATCGTGTGTGTTTGAAGCCTGGGGTATATAATCATTATTTAAGCTGTCTTCATACTGGACTACTAGATTGACATGAAAATAATACACTGCCGCTTAGACACCCACGTAAATATAACAATACAATCATCATTATCTTCTAATGTTTATAACATATGAGAAGAAATCCAAAGAAAGGGAGAGGACATTGAACAGCCAAAAACAAACCACGGAGATTAGGTAGACAACAATTTTACCGTTATCTTTCGTTTTATATTCTGTATTTTATATTTTCTCTAACGCATAAGTATCCACAATTCAAATGGCTTATATCAGCTGAGCCTACGCTGAGAATGACCACCATTCAATCCTATAAAGACGTTCATTATGTTCTAATCTTTATATCCTAAGAGACGAAATACCCGAGAAAGAGAGATGGCATTGAAAAGCCAGAAACAACTCACGGAGATTAGGTAGACAACAAGTTTATCGTTATCTTTCGTTTTATATTCCGTTTTATATGATATTTTCTCTAACGTATAAGTATCAACAATTCAAATTGGTTAAATCTGCTTAGCATAAGTGGGGGATGGCCAACATCCAACCCGATAAAGACATTCAGTGATTCACCTACTGAAAACATCTCCACTCAGTTAGAACATTCTATCTCATTCTGTCCCATTAAAGACATTCATCTACACCAAGTCTGAACATTCTACCTCAATTACAAGCAGAGTTATTGTCCCCAAAAAGTATAACGGGAAGACAGACGAACGAACCAGGGACATTCAGTAACCTAACTATATACACAACCACCACAGTCTCACAATAGAAGCTTTACAGCCTCCTTTAACTTCCCGAGAACGAAAGTAGAAATTCGTGATCTAGATGGCGATTAAGCAGTGTGATAGCACTGGCACCCTTTATATTGTGAGGACCGACCAGCGCAGTGTTCTTTGTACCCAACTGCCGTTAATTTAAAACAGAAGTTACGTGTCTCTATCTGATCATCGAAAACATTACGCAAACATTGATCGCACTCGAGAACAACATGGCTTTACTTTCAAACAACGAGTTCATTGGTAATTGATGTTTTAATGTCAGCCTAATGTTTTAACTGACATCCCAACAATATTCGTCACATCTCAACAACATTACTGACAACCAAACTTAAGCACTTTCATTCCGATATTATTATTGACGTCAAAAATAATGATCACCGGTGCGGTGCATTCATTTAGTGTAGCCATTCTGAACTCAGTCATTGGTAGAAGATGATTTTTCTTTTGTTATAAAATAAAGCTAATTGTAAATGTATTTTCTCTACTTTTAGCCATAAATCAGTAAGTCAGATATCCACCGTATTAGTTATCCTTATATCTACAGACGGGCGTTAAATGAATTCACAAACACAGACATATATATTTAATTAAATTTGTGTGAAAACAGACTGAAAAGGTAATTGCCTAGCAAAACCCCGAATTAAATCTGAAATCTACATAATTCTTCAAGAACCGATTACTTCTGAAATCTACGTATTCGTCAAGAACTGATTACATACGAAATCTATAGAATTCACCAAGGACCGATTACATATGAAATCCACAGAAAGTATCAAGAAACGATCACAGAATTCATCAAGGATCGATTATAACTAAAATGTATGAAAAAAATCCGATTACATGTGAACTCTACAGAATTTATCAAAATACGTTTACATTTTTCTCAAAACGCAGTAGCCGAAAGCTACATCTTGGTAAAACTCAGAATAGATAAATAACTAAACGAAATCCACACTTCAAGGAGGTTGGCATATTATGTACACTGATTATTGATTGATCTTTTAAATTAGAATTAATATGTCTAGATGAAGCCATTATAGCACCAAGTCAGTGTTGATATATATTAATATTTTAGTTTATATGGGTTCATGACAGTAACCTGCCAAAACTACAGAATATATTAGCTTATATGTCCTTGAATATAACATCTGTTTTAAATTCATAATTAAATTTGGCGATGGATTGGGCCACTTTTACTTAAGCATCAGATCAGAATTTCAGGCATTAGAATGGAACCGAACAGTTAAGCCAAAGCGGAGATGTCCAATGACGACAAGGGCCAAAAACCTGGACTATGATATCTATATGATCAATTTAGGCAGTTTACAGTTGTCCTAAAAATGTGTCCAAAATGTATTGTCGTCACTCGGACAAGAAAATGTGGCCAATTCCAAACCTATCAGGATCCGACAATGTTTCGTGTTAATATTAGAAACATTGAAAGGGGGATACGCTCGCCCACGAAATGACGTCTAAAATTTAAGCATTTTAATATTACAAAAAGTTGGTGCCGCTTATATCTGGTTAGTCGAGCCATTTTAATTACTTTTTGGGGATTATACCCTGCCCACAGAATCTTATGTACGCTTAAGTCTCTCACTTTTTCCACGCCCACTCACAATCATATTTATCAACATAATACACTAAGCTACATAAAAGAGGTAAGACAATCTACGCGTGCAACCTTTGACGTCATTAGTGACACCCTTACATTTTTGTTCTGTGCACGCTGTATGGATGTTTTTCAGGGAATCCAGTATTTTTCTAGTAAGATTGGGTGTCTCTACTTTCCATATATACTAAAATTGAAATATACTTGTATTGGAAATAACCACCCGATGAATACTTTTGTGGGAATATATCTTTAAATATATTTGATTATTTGTCAAATGCCCCGTATTTATATTAATGGTCGTACTGACAAGACATGTATTAGTATATTCCATAAAAAAAGTTATGACAATGATCGAGTTATTGTTAATCGATCTAAGCGGATAAATAATAATGAGTTCACAGCAATTATTGGACGTATCACTCATTAACAAAAAAGCTTTTTCGTGTTCAAATATATATAACCGGAATCTCTTCATTAAAATAAACTTGGTACCGTAGATGGAACTTAAAATGTTTATAATGAATGAACATAGATATACATCTAAGCTCAATTACCATAATGCTTTCAAACACGATGTTTACCTCTAAATCAAGGAAAATCAAATAGAAAATTGCAGAGAAAATCACACTTTCCATTAAATGCATATCATCTGTAATCTACTGATATATTTTTTAAATAAACACCTAATTTTAAATCAATTTTTGGAAATTATTCTCTGTACATGGAGTATATTCAATTATTTTAAAAATACATGTATTCAGTTTCGTACTTTTAATAATCAATCTTAATGGTGGTATGGATTTTTAAGATAGAATGGTTCTCCTTTTATCATTTTCCAGACGCTCAAACATATTTTTGTAAAGCTGTAAATTCATTACATTGTAGATTGCCATAACTACATGAAATCCTATTCAGTATTTCTTTGTATATTTAAATCTGATAAAATCGACAACGTTTAAATTCGTTTTTCGTTTCTTTTATTAAATATATTACCCGACATTACGTAACAATCAATGAAAACGCACCTTTTTAAATCACACTAATACTTTGTCCCGTGATCTGTTTATAAAAAACAACAAATCCTGTGCATACAAATAGCAATAGGAGCCAGGAGAGGCAGCATGCACTTTATTCAGACCATAAACACATTACAGACAATGCAGACATAATCCAAAACGTCACAGAGAATTAGAAGGCCCTTCAAAACGAACAAACCCAATTTCAAGATGACTACAAAAGCTGTCATAGGACGTCGACCCTTTCCGTTCAGGCGACAAGCGGTTTGCATACCCTGTCCTACACGAAGTTTAGCAATAATAGCCAGACAATAACATCAAATGTTGAAAGTGGTTTGATTGCCTTTTATTTCACTGGTCGGTTTCTTTTATATTGAAATAATCTGGTACAGGATATAGGGCTTTAAATCGTCTGTGAATAAACTATTTAATGTCAGAAGGATTCCACTGTCATTCTAATGTCTGTTTATAGTCAACATATTCTAAAAACACTCACACACTTATACAAATGTCTTTTATCCATGGGAATCGACAGAAAGATTTAAGAGTCTTTATATGGAAATGACACAGTAGAGATGTAGCATGTCTGGTCGCCCCGAAAGCAATGTGTATACCAAACATACAAACATTACATTAAATAAGCTAACTCTCTAACACAATAATATCCATAATACTGGAAATAAAAACATGAACTCAATATTGGTCCATTTCAATCAATATTGATCCTAATATCAAATATCTAAGACAAAATAATTGAAAATGACTCGTGTATTCTATGGACATAATAGTTTCGAGCGCCTTTTATAATGACAAAAGAAAACATATCCCAGAAAATAATGCAGAAGTAATTAAAATTAGCCGATTCACAAATGACACCCATACCCCCCCCCCCCCCCCAAAAAAAAAAAAACAAACAAACAAAAAAACCCAACAACAAACAAAAAAAAACCCCACAAAAAAACCCAAAACAAAACAAAAACCCTAAAAAAAACCAACAACAACAACAACAAATACCGTGTAGAATGGACTAAGCTGGCGCAAGTGACTGCCGTTCGGTTTGGACTGTTCAAATATTTCACCGAACATAAATGATTAGAAATTACAATCAACATAATTATATAGGCTCATGTTACATTAATGTGTGCTTTTCGAACTATTTTCGTCTATTTTAAGGTTCCAAAGAACAGAGCTATCCCCCCTTTAAATATATAGACCATTTTGATATTCTGGTATCATAGCAATATCTGGCATCTTTGTATTGAACCCAGACAACCAAAGTATTTGTAGAGCAATCGCATATTACGCGTTAACAAAAGAGTGGGCTAAAGCCAGGCTATTATTATGGAAGACGTCTGTTCTCTTAAATGGTAAAAGTTAAGAACATACTGGGAAGTATTATTTGGACAAATCCAAACCAATCAACTTGTAATAAAACAATAATACTCTGATGTAAAGATCATGTTCAATAAGAATTGTTCTATTATTCTAAGACCAGACGAGGTCAGTGACCAGGACCCTAAAATATTGTTTAGGAGTAGTAAATTATCTGGTTTTAATATTAGAAAGTAATACTTAATACAACCGGCTATAACATTCACACCCACCATGGCGGAGTTCGTTATAAATTTACACAAAATAGTTTCAATGGTCTTAAAAATGAATTTTCAGTTACCCCCGGGGAAGCCTGTAACAACGCATTATTGGAATGGGAAAACCGCTATGCAATTAAGCATTTGCGCGTTATAAACGCCCCATATAGAAAAAGCGACAAAACTGTCAGAATAAGAATATAAATTAGTAAAATAATAAGAATATTCATACCGTTCCCTTAACAACAACTGATTTGGCTATTTCTGTATTTTTAGACTTGGCGAGCTGTAATGGACTGTAAAAAAAATTATAATTCAATAAAATTATTACATGCAACATACAATTATTATAAAATTGATATAATCAAATGAAATAAAAAGCAATAAATATGCCCCCCCCCCCACCTCTAACTAATGTATTATCATTCTTTCAAATGAATATTGCAATTAAAGTGCACAAAAGAAGACATACCCACTCACACACACAAAAATACTCAACAAAAACAGTTTTGAAAAGATGACAATTTCATTTCTAACAGCGAACAAAGTTTGTTTCACTCTATCAAGATCCTAAAATTATTTGATTTAAAAATGAATGATACATTTATAATGATTTACAATAATTAATAGGCGGAGATACCTCGAAATACTTCAAGAGTATAGAACTGCTGGCCAAAAGGTACAAAATATTTCTGATCATAGGTTCTAGCGCATGTATACCACCGATATGTGTTAATGTTTACAATGTTGTCTTATATATTTGTGTATATTTTGTATTTTATAACCAGCCCAACAAATATAGAACAAACTGTACAAGAACACAGAACAACAAACGCGCTCTAATATACTTCATATCCGACCCCATCCCAGTAATGTTATAGCACAAGAACGAAAAACATAGGGCATCTAAATGATAAACGAAACTTCAGATTCCATCCCATTCCAGTAATATTGTTTGAATTACACGACAATAATGACAACTATTGAAGACTTAAATAATAAACAATACTTCAAATCCAACCATGTGGTCGTTATTTATTAACACGGGTTGTTTTCCCAAAAAATTCGTGATATCCTGTACCTTGTCTCCAAATTATTATCATAACCAAATAAAATGATGTTATATTATGATTTTATAAACCGATTTTGGATCAGGTTTTTTCTAAATTAGTATTTTAACGCACTTGGTCAGGCAAAGTGTGTGGCGAAAGAGGAGGAGCCACGAAGTTTACAACCGAAGATCAAATTTTCTTGCGAAAATATGTGTATGATAATATGTAGTATGATATATGATTTTAAAAAAAAATATTGTGGAGGACATGGGCAAATGTATGAAAGGTAATATTTACCTAGGTTCTTTTATTGTTCCATTGTCTTTTGCAAAAAAATCGAAGGCCATTGAGAAGGAAACATCCTGAAACCAAAAGAATAAAGTATTCACAAAATTAATTAAAGATAGGTTGCCAGGCAACGAAACATACGCCCACAACAGCTAAATCGTCCGGGCAGTCAACAAGAGTTGTCGCATATTTTTACTTTTTTCGGTAATGAAACATTTATAATACACTAAAACCTGTTTAAGAGCAACAACTCATGAAGTAATTATCAGAAAACCATTAGAATTTGTTTGTTTTTATAAAGTTCTGCAACATGCTAACGTTTTGTATACAAAACTTTTAATATCGTGGATTTAGCTGTTCAAGACATAAAAATTCATTGAAAATCAATATACTTGTTTGCCTCAAGATCTTAAACTCTGTGTATCAATCTGAAGTCAAAAGGATGATAACTTTAGCCTTTAGAGCGTCACAAAGTGATCAAGGGCCATAACTTTGGTGGTAATTATCGGAAATCGTTGAAAATCAATAGGCTTCTTCGTCTCAAGACCTTAAACACTGTGTATAAATTTAAAGTCAATCAGATATTAACTTTGGCCTCTAGTGAGTCCACAGGCAATTGTGGATGCCGGACCGACGGACGGACGGACGGACGGGGGCGTCGACAATATACGACCACATTTCAATGTGGGCGTATAAAAATAGATGTTGCTTGTGTAAGTGTAAAGCGTCTCTTACACAGAGGCGTAGTTATGGGCGATTCGCGACGGGGAGGCCAGATTCTCAACACTTTCATTCGCCCCCCCCCACCACCACCCTTACCAAAAAAGGAGAGAAATTATTCTCATTTCATCTTGCACGGCACCCTTCAAACCTAAGTTCCATGTGATAGTTAACAGTGGCAAGTTATCAAATTCGAATTCTTATTTTGCAATTTCCCGGAGTTGCTCCGCTCGGTCCTACTTTCAACTGCCTGTTTGCATACCACTGTCAAACATTTAGTTTCTTTTTATCAAAATTAAAATCACAGCTACTTGTAATTAAAATTCTATATTTTCAATACTTACGCATTTTGTGAACGTTTAACGATTGTTGATTGGGGCAGGACATTTTGTGAACGTTTAACGATACGATTAATGTATTTGTGAATAAAATTTCAAGTTTTTCATAGATGAATCCAACAAACCTCTAGTTTAGCATATTCGTGTTTTCGTTCTGGTTCCGATTCCTGTGGATTAGGACCAGTGCTGTTTGACGGATCCTGAAAGAATAGATATATATAAAGGTACGAGGAACCATGTATTATTTTTACGCAATGAAAATTCCGACGTTACATTTAACAGTTATCATTCCTTCCAGGTAACTTTCGGGTTATATAACAATTGACAAAGCAACAATACAAATGAATTCACGGTTTAATCCACAAAAATAAGACGCCCTATGTATAATTTTTTAATATAGTGGTATCTACTTTATACCACATCCATTAGTTGTATTTGAATAGTGTGTAATTATAATTGAGTCTGTTAATGTTATACACATGTAAATATGTTAATTATGTTTTCCATGCCCATATTACAAATTTACAAGCTTTTTATTGACATACCAAGACCAGACGAAATAGTCACAAAGATTAGTATTTACAATACTGCCGTACTTAGTAACATACGTACTTTTACATTACAAATTCAAATATCTAAAATTCACAACAATATGTATAATATGACATTTGGATAAATATATTTATATCACTTTTTCAAAAATATTACAATTGCGTTTTACTAAAACATGTCAACAGACAGGAAAGAACTGAAAGTAAATGGTATGGAACACATAACAATTGACACAATTCACAAAAGGATGATCGCAAAGCTATAGAATTCGCCCAGTGCAACATAGATCATTTGAAAAGCTATGTTAGAATTAAAAATACCCTTGATTGTTGCCGTTGTAACTTGTCATTGAGCTTAAGGCCCTGTATCAAAAAAGAATTAGTTATACATTAAATTCTGTAGATCGTCTTCTCTTATAATAAATAAAACTTATAATAAACTAAAACTTTAACAAAATAGCAAAGCGCAAGTTTCATGACTAATAATAGTGTGGTTTCTAGAATATAAATATAAATGCACTATTAAACAGCATTGGCTATGGTTTACAATACACTAATGCATGCCACACAACTAAAAATTAGGAGAGGTTAGAACAGGCAGCATGAAGAATACCAAAGCAAAAAGATAACCTTGCAGCATCCCATATGGAGGGGTAAAATATTATATTCATTTTTTTTTAAATACAACAATTACAATTTTACTTTAACGAGATATCACTTCAACAGGTTAAAAAGCGGGGTTAGAAAAAATATTGGAACACTGTTAGTGAAAGGTCAATTTGGATAACCTATGAAAGATTCTGTTTCCCCAATAGATAAAACAAAAGGTTTGTTAATTTGAGTTTTAGACACCCAATTCAAAGTTCACCGCACTGTTTAATTCATTTATAGGTTGTAAAATTAAATTTCAACTTAATTTTTTTGACATTTCTAAATCCCATATATCAATTTGTTTGCTGAATTAGGTGACTAAATTACAAATCACAGTTTGTGCCTATCCAGAAGAAGAATAACAGAAGACCACTGCATAGGTAACTGCTTTTTAAAAATACCTGCATAGCCATTACTAGTGATTTCTGAGGATATTTGGCTAAACGTTCCATGAACTGTTTGGTAAACTTGTGACTATCCTGACAATAAGTAAATAAATAGATTACATCTCAGCCTTGGTGAAAGGTACAAATCGAAAATAGAAGAGAAAAGATGAAGTACAAACAAGAGATAGAAATGACAAAGATATTTGATTTAGTCAAGTTTAATAATTATTCATAATACAATTTAACAATCTATAATCTAAATAACCATCCTATCAAATGCCTCCATACATCTCTTTATGGCGGAAGTGGTTCACATTTTGCTTTCTGGAAGAATATCAATTTACAAATGGTCTGGGTCAACTATTCTAATTATTCCAGACTATTATCACAGTCATTCTGAGTTATCGAGTGTTGGAATTAATGGAGTACCCATGGAAACTCCATCCAACTGTGTTCAATATTTACTGAGATTATAAGGTGGATCTGCATACTTATAAAACTGAATACAACATTTAATGGTAAACTTGACTATAACATTTAATGATAAACTTGACTATCTGCTAATAGATTTGATGTGCAATTATAGGAATGATAAAGATAATAAATAAACCAAATCTATCATAGCATATTCCAAAGACAAGAATTAGTTTGAAAGGAAAATATAACAAGGTGATGTCTAAATACGAATAGCTGTGAGAAACTGTCTCGGGAGAAAATTAATACATAAAAAAAGGTTTATATAAAAACTAGAAACACGGCAATATACAATACTGATCAATCAAAGGTTATTTAAAATAATCGTATATTGTGCAAAGCAACGAAATGCAAATTGATACCATAAAATACCATATACATATATAAAAGACTGTGCAATGAAAATCACTTCTTGTGTACAAGTTCAAAGTTCGCAGCTCAGTTGGTAGATGAATATAATATGATGTGTGGTTATTATAATATTAATTAGAAGAACAGATAGGTTAAAGGTGATTGGCATCATTTTTGATGTTCTTGGTAAAAAAAGCCATCTATATCTACTTAACAGTTTTAATCATCAAAGATAAAAAAGATATATGACCACTATTGTTTTTACCTTCTGTTCTTTCCACAACTGAAAAAATTGGTAATCTTATTATTATACCCTAGCAGTTATAGAGAGCATCACAGGTGCGCCGTTAATGCCCCACGCACAATGGAAAACAACATAAAAAAAACCCACCATGATTAAAAATAAAAAAAAATACATTCCGTTTTATGGTAGTCAATGTCAACTTATTCTTGACTCGCAATCACGGGCGTTCAAGTGGGGACTGGGTCATAATTGAAAATGTAATAATAAAGTCGGTGCTACGTTGGGTTTACCCGTGTTCTTTGTCAATGATTTGTCTACAAAATAGACGATACGTCTACTATGAGATACTGAGTAGCATACTAAATTATTTTTTTCAGAAAATTCTACTATGATGTGTTCTTAAAACACTTTGAAAACGCACCAGGTAACTGTATAGCCAAATCACGTCAATTATTTGTTATATCAAACCGCCAAGTGCTACAAGGGCTAATAAGGGTAACCACAATAGCCACACCGCATGGTGCCGATAGAGATTATTATTTAAAATACATGTATTCCCATCCCGGATCTTCTGACGCTGAAGAAAAAAAGAAGTGGAAGGGACAGTCAGTGTAGATACTACAGAACAACAGAGTTTACTGATGACGCACATTTAAAATGAAATAACGTACTATATCCATGCACACTTTGATAATATCATTTATGCCCATTTGAAGAGATACACGTTCTGAATTAAAATCTTACACCAAAGAATTCCGGGTTAGAGTTCATTTGAAGGAATATTCGTTTGTATGCAGCAATTTTCTTTCATTTACTCGTAAGAAATCTTGCTATTCGGCGGAATAAATTGACCCCAGTGGATCTTACTCTATCACTAAGATCACTATTGGGGATAGGGTATGCATATGACTATTCATTATTAAACCAAATTTTGATAATAACTTATCTCTATGACAACTAGCAGTACAACTAGCATGTCGCCTAAAGCTTTTAAGCTTTCTATGTGTGACAGTGTAAAAATATTAATGACAATATGGAGGTTTTTTGGTAACTGACTTCGGCCGAGACAAACCAATTTAATACTTAATGGAGGGGGAGATCTTATTGTACCAAATGAGGATTCTCGTTGGCTTTGGCTACCTAATCAGGAGACCCCGGTTTTGACCCCAGACTTATTCTGTCCTGCTTCCCCTTGTCAGTGATGGAGGACCGAGGGCTTAGCAAAGGAAACTTCTAGTCAATCGGATGGGACAAAAAATCCCCGATATTCTAGCACGTTAAAGACTCTATGTCAGTTAGAAACCAAAATAAGAGTAGTCTGTCGCACCGCTGTCATGGTAATCTGTCCCCCACAGCACATTACATGGCATATGCCTGTCTACAATGGCCCGGGCCATGCCATATTAAAACATGAATGCTTCAAGATTCGTTGTAATGGTTCTCCGATTTCAATAGAAAATATATACGTACACAGAATAAAAAATGAAGTCATGCAACGTTGGTAAATGGAAATTTGATACAATACTAACAAGATACTCAATAAACGTAAAATATTTTACTAATACATTATACATTATCAATAAAAATCCATACACATATTTTCATCCCAATATATTGTATGATTGATATTGAGATTCATCTTATTCTAATACGGAAAATAACTTACATTCTCCAAGGAATCTTCTAATAAATAAATTGTACATCGTTCACATTTCAACATTTCTTGAGCATCCAACATAATTTTTTCTATCAATTTATTTAAATTAGTCTGTTCCTCAAAGACGCCTCTTGCTAAATGTAATAACAGCTGAAATAAAAATATAAACTAAATTGAAAAGACGTTCAGAAAATCTAAATCAATACATAATGACAGAATTTAACTGATCTCATAAAACAGGATTCCGAGATGAATTGAATTGGGTTCATTGTTCTGACAGATTACATTTCGAAACATCGCCTAGTGTATTCGCATTTCGTCGGTACAAAATTCGTAAAAAAGCGTTGACTGTTAGGACAGCGATGAATGTGGCTTATACTTGTATTTCTTAACATGGACTTCATTTCCGTCTTCATTATCCCGGTTGGAGCAGAAAAGTAGGACGCTGAACCCAATTTCATTTCATTGTTCTGACAGATTACATTTCGAAACATCGCCTAGTGTATTCGCATTTCGTCGGTACAAAATTCGCAAAAAGGCGCTGACTGTTAGGACAGCGATGAATGTGGCTTATACATGTATTTCTTAACATGGACTTCATTTCCGTCTTCATTATACCGATTGGAGCAGAAAAGTAACACGCTAAACCCAATTTCATTTCATTTCATTATACAATAATTGTATTTTTATAAAGAGTTTATCAGTATGCGATGTGTCGTCTAATATTATGTCATACGTATTAATTATTTGAATCCTTACACCAACTTCGACCTAAATTGTTTAAGCCGTATATAGTAACTGGACGAGAATAACACATGACACAATTATATGGATGCACGTGTTTTATCAACTTAGGGCTGTTCGGTAAACCCCATTTTTTCTTAAATAAAGTATCGTGTGCATTGGACTTGGAGCAAACGTGACCAAGTGTTATGGGGCTGGTTTACTAACCAGGTGGTTCCGATTCAATCCAGGGATTTTCCAGTCTAGTCGTTCGGATCGAGATAAAAAAAACCCCAGCGCTATAATACCATTATCAGTACGCTGTTCGGACACACTGCATGGCGTATCATCGTCGTCATTAGCCCGGATGTCGTAAAAAAAAAAAGTAGGACATTAAAGCCCATTTCTTTTCACCATGAAGTCTGGCTCATTGCCCAGATTTTTTTATGTCGTCAATCAATCACCAACCTATTAAATGGCTAAGTAAAACATTTGGAACTGCGCATACATGTGGTTCCCTTAAATTTCAATATAACGAGCATTGGAAATACACTAAAGTTGTCTATAATAAGGCCATACATAAACGTTTTCTCTATTCAACACGATTTGTTAGTATTAATACATGGTTATTAATGTGTTACGTGATAACAACTACATGTTTAAAATTATGGGTCCATATTTATAATGGACTCAGTTTACGTCTGTAAATGGTAATTCTTTACCTTTAAATGTGTCACTAAAGAATAGCATACTTAAGTACAAATTTCTGAATAAAAACATTGTAATGTATGTATTTCTTCAAGGTTATATTGTAACTTTATATGTTAATGGGATCAATAGGCTGGCTTAATCCGGGATTATTGTCACGTTACATGGAAGCACTGATTAATTGCATGTTGACTTTTTAACCCTATATTATGAATGTTTGATAAACCATAAACATATTAAATAAGGGGTATTAAATTTCTATTTCATATGTTCTTTTGATAAATATATTTCCTTTTATAATAAAATCAAGCTACATTAAAGAATTGTGCTAAATGAAACGAGAATCATTACAGATATTACCATGATATATCGGTATAGGTATACATTATGTGCCCGCTCTTATTGTCTATTGATATGCTGCCAGGAGAGATAATGGGCTGTTGGGTGTTGGCGGGGGAGTGGGTGTAGATTAAAACGTGTCGTCTGTTGTCTCAAACAACAGCAAAGTAAACTCACGTTTGCCCACCTTTGGAATTGTTGTATCAAGCAACAGCAAAGTAAAATCAAGTTTGCCCACCTTTGGGAAAGTGAGAGAGAGAAATGGGGTTTAACGTCCACTCGACACAAACTAGGTCATTTTGGGACTAACACATGGTTCAATTTTATTTCAATAATTCGCTTGCGCGTAGGGATCTTTAGCAGTGGGAGGAAACCGGAGGACCCGGAGAAAACCCGCGAGATTGGACAGGTGACCCTACTCCTTGTCACGTACAACCGGGAAATCGAAACCCCGCCAGTTGACTCAATGACAGACCATATGATACAGCGCGCGCACGTGCTAACCATTCGGCCATCCAACCTCCCGCCCACCTTTGGAGTTAGGAATAAACGGTGCACTAACTTGAGTTCACCATTTTGCAATGACATGAAATTTCTTGCTTGTTGGGTGGTGTGTAACGTCTGCTTTCACATTAAGTAATATCGCAGGCAATGACATGCAATAAACTATGTAAGATTATATATAAATACTGATAAAACCATTCCCCCATTGTAAAGCTTCCGGTCACATTAGAATAATAATCAGGATTTACTCAAAGATAAATATACTTCTAAAATAGTCACTACATTTAATAAGTCCCATGTCAATAGGCGAGCACAGTAAGGTTTAACTGCATACTAAGATCAATATGTAAATAATTTATATAAATTTATTGGGAGGGTTTGACCTTATCTTAATCGTGCTTGTCAAGGTAGCTTTAATATAGATTAGCGTAAAGGCTTTTAATAGCAGCGGATTAAATAATTGTCGTTAATCGACAAATCATCGAAAATCGTAAGTCAGTGAATGGTTGCGATTACTAATGACGTCATTGGATATTCTCTACAGACCAGCCTAAAACAGGACACAAATTAAGGAATGTGCTACGCCAATCCTATTCATTAGCTCCTGCCGGAGTTACTTTTCAGGAATCTGGCCTCTATTGAAGTCATTAAGGCATGGCATCCGGTTCGCAGATCAAGATATGAAAGAGCTTATACCTGATCTGCGAATGACGGATTTAGTTTTTAAAGACGGGCGTTTTTCCTTTATATTCGATTTAAGGTATTTAGATATTTTTCATATACAAATAAGTTTTTAAAAAAAAAACAAAAAAGAAAAAGAGTGTCCAATATTTATTCCACATATTTTTTTTATTGCATTATTCACTATACCTTTCTATAACTTTCCGGTCCCTTCGGTCTTTACAAGTCATAATTTTCAAGACTTAACAAGGTTCTGGAAATTCCTAATAACGTTAGCTATAGTTTATAATATTACGTCTTGGTGTAATGGAATTTCTCTAAGGAGACATAAATGGCACGTGAATTGATTGTGTCTGACTTGTTTCTTAACTTCTGATATTTTGTAGACAGTTTAATGCAATTTATAGTTTCATATAACATTATCTTTTGTGACGTGCAAAGATTACCATTTACTTGAAGAGGACAGCAATATGCAGAAAAAAAATTCACACAACTTACAACTAAATTAAAATATTTTGAGAATCTCGTCGACGACAGACAGGTATATATATATATAATAATAAATGTCAAGATTTGAATATAAAACAACTCATTTATTTTCACTATCAACGCTGAATGTGTAAAACGAATCCCTAAGATTGAATTAGAAGGAATCGCTCATTATTGTAACAATTGCTGACAGACACGATATATGGATATAAAAAAAGCTATTTTTTAAAAGTTTGTTTCTCTTATGATTGTTGTTGATATATAAATATTATGTTTATAAACAGGATATACGTCAAATGTATCTATTTCCGAAATCCCTGTTTTATGAAGCGTTTTCCCAATTTAAGATAATTTTTGTTATCAATAATAAAAGTAGTACCAGGTAAAATGTAAGATTACAAGGAGGTTTTTAATTGATATTGTGGGACGCCAACATTATTGATTTCTTAATAATCACATGTAGATAAAGTAACGATCTCATTACTACTTGTGTGTGACCTTTAAATAAGAAGTGACATCGGGTGTTCTACTATTATACCTTCTGATGTAAATATTAAAATGAACAATAACATTTGAAGTTACGAAAAGTGTTTCACGAATTTTTTATACTAAATCATAGGAAAATATAAAAACAATACCTTTGTGTCTATCTCGTGAGACAAAGATCTTTGTAAAGATGCACATGTCATAGTAATAAATAAAATCCAGGAGATCACAAATCAGTCAAGTGTAGATAACTTTTACTTATTTAATTCCCTGTTAAACGATACTCGTTTATTTTTAATATGATTGCGCCCACAACTACTACACTGACAAACCCTAACAATTGTAAGAAATAAAACTTTGACGTATAACAGAATAGATGATAGTTGTACCGTCAAGCGTAAGGTCGGCTTTTGTTGAAGGAAGACACCGTGTTTACAAATTGAATAATAAAAGAGAGTTATTAAATACTTACTATTGATGTGTAGATTAGTTCGGGGTGAAATAGTTCTATCGTTAGTGGGCCGAGATAATAATATTCAGATATTTTAAAAGGACATTCGATAGTTAAAGTGCCAATCCTTTTCGCTTTTTAAAATAATCTGTATTGCATCAGTAATGAGAAAAAAATTCTAAATTAAGCATTTTTGTCATTTTTTTTAATTGGGAAATGTCAGAACATTCTGAATACAAAACTCCAGTTGCACGTTTATAACACGTCACTTTATGACAAAAAGATCATCAACTAACACACATGGGTTTGAAATCTGACATAATAATTAATAAAAGGCGTTAATTCACAAAGTTCCCCTTAAAGTGAGTAATACTATAGATATACGTCATAATTATCTCATCAAAAACCACATGGTGTGGAAGTAAACTTTTTTGACGTAATAACACGCTTATTCACAAATGCCATAACAAATATTTACAACATGTATTTTTCCTAGAGGGAAGGTTTTATGATTTTTATCGCACGGTATAAGGAGATCAAAGTAAATATCAATATTTGGAGTATAAAATATTGTATGAATGATGAAAAAAAAAGGCAAAGATAAAATCCCTATTTGCGTCAATTACAACCAATCAATAAGATTTTTAATGCTTTTACAATGGCAAGAGCAGTCTTTACATGAACCCCAGTCATCCATAGCAATGATTTCTTATAAAGATTTATGAAATTTTACACACCGTGAAAACTGAAGACTTAATTGTATTTACTAAATCTCAGGAAATGAAGGATTATTTAAAATTGTATGTTTATCTTTGTAAAAGTTATTGGGGGCCTATTATAAAACAGAAATACACTTTAACATCGCCAACATGGTTGACAATGGTTTGCAATAAAACTGTTTCAATACACCCAATGAAATAAATTTGCAATAAATTGTCTAACGAAATTGTGCGACAGTATTTTCACTTCTTGGAGCAAACGTTTATCTGAATTGGATATCGTTAGATTCTATTAAGCACATGCTTGTCAATCATTCGTTCATGGGGTTTTACGTCCGCTTCCACTTTGGGTGATATCGCAGACAAGTGTTTCCTAAGAAACTTGCCAGAAAAAGCCAAAAGTAGGCTAAGACCAGCTTGGGATGGAGATATGAGACTGAATATAGAAGGTCCATTCGATCTCATTTCCATGTTAAAGACACAATGCTCTTTGAGAGTCCATTCATGCATCAGTGCTATGATATTATATAAGGCAGGTAGTCAGGGGCGGATGCAGGAATTTTTGCAGGAGGGGGTTTACCAGGTTCCTGAGACAATGTATCCCCCCCCTCCTCCCGCATGGTCTCTATCGTCATTTTGGCGTATATACATACACATTGAGCTTTTTAAACAGAGAAATCCAACATCTCGTTTGACGTCAATTTTTATTATGAATTAATACAATGACATTGTGATTCAATTTCATGGATGCAAAGCATTAATTGTGATATCACATAATGTCTATATCATTATCTCGTGCTTTGAGCGCCCATCCTGTCCCAAATCTGACGATAAAGGATAAAGCACACGGCCGAGAAACTTTTCTCATAAAAAGTGTTGATTCCCCCCCTCCCGATCTGGATCCGCCCCTGGTAGTCTGATCTGAATGGCAGCTGGGCTTGGGACCCTGTTTGTCAATGAAAGAAATAATATTGAGGTATTGAAGTCAACCGAGGTTTTGTTAATAAATTAATCACCAGTGATGGTAATCTGTTAGTATCGATTGATCTAGGTCCAACCTTTACTTAACCTTGGTAATCTCTTGAACCCAACAATCTGGTGAGAACGGATATGAATTCTACAACAAATGAATAGCTATGTTATGAATGTGGATTTATTAACCGATATTTCTTAATTGTTAAAGGCAGCATACCTGATTCCTGGTAAACTCTTGTACAGACATTTCGAACAGCTGAGCATTAGTGATGCCAATTCCACAGAAGGTAAGGTACTTCTGGAACACCTGTAACAAAGACATAATCTTTCTGAATGACGTAAAGGTCATCGAAAAAATGTTTGACATATATTATTAAATGTTTGTTTGGTATCGCTGCTCATTCTAATCTGGGTGTTGGGTCGTTCAGTGGTCTAACACACCCGCTTCATATCATAAGGCCTTTATTGAGTTAAAGATACATTATGGGAGATTCGATAACGAGTTGGCAGTTCTCACTATAATAGTTAAAAACTAGATAATGTAAAGGCAATTTGCTGAAAATTTCATTTAAATTGATCTACTATGAACCGGGAACTAAGTGATTGAAATTTCCGTCTAGCCTCGATCATCATTACTTAAGTCAGTACTATAAACAGCATAGTCTCGATTATCGTTAAATCGTGAAGTAAAGCTTTGCAGTAAATCGGCTCATAATCCACCAAAAGATCGCAGGCTAGCGATGCCATCTAGAGTTGATTATGGTCTGGATAGGTAAATTAATGTCTAATTAAAAATTAAAATAACATTTCAGGCCTACAGAAAGACCTGCAATAGACAGATTTAGCTCTTGCATAATGTATGTTTAAGTTCTGTTGTTTCGATTCCAAGTCTGCACGTGCCACGATTTTCCCAAAATGACTAGTATAATATTTGAAAAATATATAATGACGCTCTAATGGTTATTGATTCAGTGTGGTTTGTCTATAAATTTGACATGTGAATGGGTTTAAAGAATCAAAGCAATTCTCGTATCTATGGTTACTAATAAACAAAAAGCATCAGTTTAAAATTCAATTCAGTTTTCCATTTGGATGAGTTCCATGCCTTTATAGATTTAAAAAGAAATTGTTATATTATATTTTTAGTTCAGTGTACATGATCAACAAGATATCTGTTCTTGATTGATAACTTAAACCTAGAGTACACAACCCCACCCACATAAACCATGATCTAAATTACTTGGAATTAATTTATTTAACATTTCTTTTTTTCTTGGAAGATATATCTTTGAGAAACATAATTGTATTTAAAAATGTGTCACTTATCATTAATAGGAATCCAACAAACCGCATCAGTAGTTCTAAACAAAAACAAACATTTTAAAGCGATAGGTGCATATTTTTTCAGAGAGTGAAAACAAAATTTATTTCTTTATCTACTGCTTAAAGTTGCAATTATATTTTTTAAAATCTATTAAAATAAAGACTTAAAATAGGTGGTATCCATAAACCGTCCTACCTTGTTAAAGAATAATCCTATTAATCCTATAAGTCACTATTGCCAGCTGAGAAATTGGCAAAAATATCATTTTCAACTTCAAATTCCAACGTTTGAAGGTAGCTAATGCATGGAGGCAATAGGAAAACAAGGGAGGTAATTGTGTTATTATTTCCTGTGTCAATGATTTTTAAGGGTGGGAAATAATGCCCATGGTCGTATAATAGTGAGTTGATAACCTATTGAGCAAAAGACTTTCTTAGAAAATATGAAATTATCGCTTTAAAAAACATTCACATAATAATTTGTAATATTTTATAGTCGTGCACGGTACTTGGAAATTGTATTATTTCTTTTCACTGAAAAACTAAGTCAAAAAAATGGGAGAGGGGAAATGCGCGAGAGTTATCTTGATTATCAAGGTCTATGGTCAAGCAGATATGGATAATGATGCCTGGTTGACCGAGACAACCTGCACATTTCATATTGTTCTAACGCCACTCCATGAACTTGGCAAACATCAACGCTCTCAAAAACAAAAATTTGAAACAAGATCATTTAAGAATTAAAAACCAGTAGTCTTTTGTTATCAAGTATATTTGAAAAAAAGATCGACCAGTGTGACCCTGTGAACTAGCTTGCGATATATTGTTGACTTCCATTCATTTTTATTTTCACATAACAAATTTAGAATTCTAATTTAAACATACATTATGCAAGAGCTAAATCTGTCTATTGCAGGTCTTTCTTTAGGCCTGAAATGTTATCTAAATTATTAATTAACCTATCCAGACCATAATCAACTCTAGATGGCATCGCTAGCCTGCGATATTTAGCGGATTATGAGCCGATTTACTACATAACTTTCCTTCACGATTTAACGATTAAATGGATAATCAAGACTATGCTGTCTATCGTACTGACTTTAGTAATGATGATCGAGGCTAGGCGGAAATTTCAATCGCTTAGTTCAGGGTTCATAGTGGATCAATTTGAATGAAATTTTCAGCAAATTGCCTATACATTATCTAGTTTTTAACTATTATAGTGAGAACTGCCAACTCGTTATCGAATCGCCCATAATGTATCTTTAATTAGCCGCCACTTCCTGGTATTTTTCGCAAATCCAATTCAACATACTGATGTCTAGACCTCAAAAGTAAAACGTATTAATTTGAATTATAATTTTCTTTTATAGCTCTTTCAATACAACTACATGTAATTCCAATTCCAGATTTGAGATTAAACTCCAAAAAAAGATCAAATAATAATGACCGATGAAATGCGTCTTTTCCAATTATAAAATTCTAAGATCCATCCAGGACGTAACATTTTCAGCGGAATTAATGTCTAGAGAAAAAAATCAATTACGAAAAGCATTAAGAAGAACGTAATTATACTAAAAACCTACCAAAGGTCGGCCATTATTTTGATATCATTAAAACTATTAAACCCCAAACATATTGATTATGAGGGATATAAAAATCATAGTGGTGTGATTTATATGTATATTAAAAACACATTTATATTTGATATATATAGGATTATCCTAAAGTTTGTCATGCACAAGTCGGAGAGCTGCCAGATAACTGTAGCATCCTCAAGATTAATTTTGATCTGTCACGGAAAACCTTAAAGTAGAACTCTTTATGATGAGCTATTCGGATTGACCGTAATTATTGAATTAATAAACATCTACCATAAATGCTTTTACGGTTTGGCTATAATCATTGAAAACATATTTATCTGTAATAAATGCTTTTGGAGTTGATTCTTACCATTAATTCACATAAATCTGTAATGGATAACTCATCCACTAAGCCAATTGTGGAGCTCAGATTTGAACCAGGATTCAAGAGATAAACAATCAAATAAAAAAATACTATCGAATGAGAGGCCTTTAACTTTGAACATTATTATGGTTAACAACATCATTGCAAATACAACTAGTTAAAATCCAAATAAACGACACACAAATGTTTCTAATTCTTTGTCTACAGTGAGGCATAATTCACCTGAGAAGGAATAACGAAATTCAAACCTATATACAGGGTGGATGATAAACGTTTGAATGAGAAATATAGTTTACAATTACAAGTTCGAGGAACGATGAAATTATCAAACTTTAATTCATATCTGAAATATTTTATGGGCATAATAAACTAGTTAGAGCTAGTTATAACCAGTTAAAATTTTACAGCAGACTTTGAAAACTCTATATGACATATATAACCAAGCCAACGTTTCGTAGTTTCTGTACTCACCTCTTCATCAGCTTGACTAAAAACATGATTTCCATTAATTTTATTAATAATCTGTGCAACACCAATAACTTCTCCTTCAAAATTGATAATAGGCATACATAATATACTATGGGTTCTGTATCCCGTTTTAGCGTCTATTTCTTGATTAAATCGGGGATCCTGAAAAATAAAAATAAAATATTGATTTATAGGGAATATTCAGAAAAACTTTGTTTATACAAAAGAAATCTTGGTTGTTGTGTTGAAAGAGAAATGCTTACTTGACTGAACAAAGCAGTAGGTGTTTTTCGAAACCGATCTGCTCTCCCCCATGACTCTCCATAAATAAATTAAAAAAACCAAACTTAATGGACAACTAATTATTGCCCAGAACGTTAACTGTGAAGATGCCACATATTTTATTATTAATTTCAGACAACTTCCTGTTATTGGGAACACGCGTTTACAGTTATATACCTAAAATATCAGAATGAAAACTTTTAATTTTAATTCAGGACGTACCATTTTTGACATCTAATGTCATTATTTTTGCATTTTTAGAAAGGAGGAAAATAAATTTTATTGTCTCAACGTTAACTCGATTTCGTGTGGTGAAGTTGTCGAGATGGAAACGCCAAATTTAATTTATATTTAAATAAATCAAAATTATAGCAAGTCGACATGTGAAATTGAGTTTAAAAGGTATTAGTACATTGCCTCACTAGAGAACATATTTTTAAGAGGCCAATCCAAGAATTGCTACGTGTTTTATTGATTCAAGCTTCAACGATGTTTTTCTTTAGCGTCCCTAAGGGTGTATTACATTGGAATTGGAACTCATTACCATTGCAATACTGCATTTTTTCATTCAATAAAAATACCGAAGTCGGAATTTTATACGTAAGAATCTTAAAGTGTATGTAGACATTTGGTTTCGTGGAACTTTGTACATTGTACATAGCAAATCATAAAGAGTATATATCGGTTTGATGTAGTGGGAATCTCGTACATAGTAAATCTGGTGTCGTGGTAACTTCGTACATAGTAAATCTGAAAGTGTTTGTAGGGGTTTGGTGTCGTTGTAACTTCGTACATAGTAAATTTTAAAGTGTATGTCATAGAGGTTTGGTGTCGTAGTAAATTCGTACACATTTAATCTGAAAGTGTGTGTAGGGGTTTGGTGTCGTTGTAACTTCGTGCAAAGTAAATTTTAAAGTGTATATTATAGAGGTTTGGTGTCGTGGTAACTTCGTTCATAGTTAATCTGAAAGTGTGTGCAGGGGTTTGGTGTCGTTGTAACTTCGTGCATAGTAAATTTTAAAGTGTATATTATAGAGGTTTGGTGTCGTCGTAATTTCGTACATAGTTAATATGAACAGGTTTGGCGTCGTGGTAACTTCGTACATAGGAAATCCTAACGTGTATAGCAGTTTGGTGTCGTGGTAATATCGTACATAGTTAATCTGAAAGTGTGTGTAGAGGTTTGGTGTCGCGGTAACTTCGTACATAGTTAATCTTAAAGTGTATATAGAAGTTTGGTGTCGTGGTAATATCGTACATAGTTAATCTGAAAGTATATGTAGAAGTTTGGTGTCGTGGTAATATCGTACATAGTTAATCTGAAAGTGTGTGTAGAGGTTTGGTGTCGTGGTAATGTCGTACATAGTTAATCTGAAAGTATGTGTAGGGGTTTGCTGTAGTAAGAACTTCGTAAAAAAAGCAAACCTTTAAGTGTATGTGTCGTGGTAACTTCGTACATAATAAATCAAGTCCTCTTTGTAAAAATACAAGATTTAGGACTGAATGTCAATTTGAGGATCATATACTAAGTTACTACTAGACCACATTTCAAATTTATGAGAATCGACGCATTCTTAAAACAAATTGCAAACTATTATGAATCTTCTATCCAGACTATAAAATATTAAGGCTTCCTATTAAAATGAAGTTTACGACTTCTCTTTTTAAAGAACGAAAACAAATGATAATTCAAAACAATGGCGCCAAATAGTAAAATGATATGTGGATGTTAATTTGTTATCGCACGATAGGGTCTGTCGCTTTAATCGATGGTCAGTCATTCTGTCAGAACTGATTATAGAGAATCCTGAGTAAAACCTGATTGGTTTCCAGTCCTCAGAAATAAATCACCTTTGGTATTGATGAAGGGAGATGAAGATTACCCACGAAAGGATAATTAGGTTTGAATTATCTTAAATACTTACAAGGGAATGAAGAACTGTCTAAGAAACGAAGCTAAACGGTCTAGAAATATTGTAATGGGTAGCACCGGTGGAGAGTAATTGTCTACGAGATCGGTGAATAAATCCTGCTAAGCAAAGCGGATAAAATTTATTATGACGTTTCTCAATCTCCCACATGGTTCAACAAAAACAGACATGATTTAACGTCCGTTTTTAACTTCAATCTGAATAAAATACAGATCTATTTTTAGTTTAGTTTTTTTTTATACTTTCGATGGCCTACACTACATGAAGATCTGACCGGTTGTAGTGGAAGGTCGCGTCAGGGTCATACGAAGACAAGTAAAACGAAATTTTGAATTATAAAAACGAAACGAAATAGGATCTGTGTTTTAATCTGATTGTGTTAACTTTAAATGATATCCAAGACAAACTCTGCTGTTTTTGGAATTGTGTGTCGAGTGTTTCCAGTCTTATTCGGGTTGTATACCACAGTACAATAGAGCTTGGTTAGCTGATGATAAGTGATATCGAAACTTCTAGAAAGTCTAAAATACTCTGTTTCGTTACGACACATGTAACTAAATGAAATAGTAGCGGTTTGGAAATTCGATTTCAGAGACATAAACTAATCAGATAATAAATGTGTTCACAAGAAATGTTGGACAACGGATGGACCCAGGGACAGACAAGGGCGGCGACAATAAATGCCAACGCAGCAATGTGCAGTAATTTAGGCAGTTGTAATCAAATTAACAGATTATTAATCAGGTTAACAGACTGTTAATGATCTTCATGAAAAACATTGGCTGGGTATAATTAGCAATAACCGTGTACACGACAACTCTCAAGATCGAGGGACAGACAATGACGACGACAATATATGCCAACACGGTAATGGGCAGTTATCTGATATAATTCGTGTAGCTATATGTCCAACCTTTAGTCCAGTAATATAAGATTAACAGGCAGTAAATGATCTTAATGAAAAACATTGGGTTGATGTAATTAGCTATAACCGTGTACAGGACAACCCTCAAGAGAGAGCTAAGTAAATTATGACAGGCAGTGTTAGCTATACGCTGATGAGGACGACAACTGTCGACTACATGTCAGCATTCTTATTGATTTAACCCACATTGGCATCAGTACATAGAGACAAGAGATTAATGTAGATTTTCTAATATAATTATTCACGTTCTGACTAGACCACTAATTAGCGGTCAATATAAGTAAAAATAATATATAATATGTGACCAGGCTGGGTTATATATATATGCATCTATGTACAACATACTTTAATTTTCTCACAAAATATGACATCAAATAGGCAAGTTCATCAATCTCTAACAGTATACAGTGAAATTCAGTATTAGTAAATATGGGAGGACTGCACAAACCATAATAATTAACTAGAAATGAAATAAAATGGGGTTTAACATGTTACTTTACTGCACCAACAAACTTCAAGACAAAAGGGAAAATTTTGCCCGAACAGCACATAAAAGCACGGATGTAAGCCAGAAGAGAATGGACATTGCAAGCCATAAGATATAACTAGCAAATCAAGTTAAGGAATCGAGGAGATGATAAAGGTTTGTAATGCCACGGGCTTCCCTTAAAGGAGCTAAGTCTCTAACTCAATATCATCCAAAATCTTCAACATTGAAAACACGATTTATTTGTCAAATTAAATCAACATTCATGTTGTGATCTTACCGGAAAAAGATGGGCTTTTGATATCCAATATTTAAGACAAAATAAACATTTTACCATTGGTACACGAATCGTGTACCATAATGCGCTTCAGTCGCAGTTGTATCAAGAGACTCGAGGGACGAGGCTAGACACATTGCACCAAATTTGCACTCGCTTGAGACTGCTGGCTTATTTCGCCGAACATAACTGATTTGAAATTGGAGTAAAAACAGAAACCATTGAATGTAAATTAGTTTATATACATTCATATTACAGTATTATATGCGTTGCGACCCACTTTTGTCAATTTCTAGGTCCCATTTGTTAGCGATTTAGCTCCTTTAATCTCAATTAAAAAAATTACGAGAAACGGAAGTAATTAAAGTAATTTGATGACCAAGAAGAAAACGGAAGTGTGTATATCAATGCGCAAAATATGACAAGTAATATATTTGTAGGTTTGTAGGTCATTATAGGTTTATTGATAAAATTTCGTTTAAAATACACTTTTATTTCGTCCTTAGCATACATTTAAAGCAAGGAGAATTTTAGCCTTGCTAGAAATAGTTCTGTATCATTTAAAACAGGGGGGGGGGGGTATCCATGTCAGAAATAGTTCTGTATTAGTACACACATTTAAAAGAAGGGAGCTTGTCCTTGTCAGAAATAGTTCTGTATCATTACATATATTTAGAAATCGAAGGGCCCAGAATAGAAGATGATTTATAGTGTCAAATCTATTTTGTTTGAGAGAACACACGCGTGTATCTGATAGCATTATAGACGTCCGGGAGGAGTACACATATCTTATCGGCGTCACTTCCTTAAAACTTGAACATTAGAATTGACCAAACAGGATAGCATGCGAACGGACTGACTTGTAATTTAACTGGGTAATGGCGTGTTTGATCCGGGAATGTCGTGAGGATACACGTCTCTCTTCTAATGAGTAATTTTAGCAGGATAGCAGCCAACCTCTCGAGACAAGGGTTTACAGTCGCCACATTAACCTTTATTATCAGTTATATTTAGGTTTTTTTTTCCAAAACAGAAAACTGAAAATGTCGCTGGGGCCCTTGCGTTAGCAGTGAAAGGGGGAAGGGGGACATATTCTGGTCACTGTCATTCACATTCAGACAAATGTCTCGTGGTTGTTAAACCGTAGCGGTAAAAATTTAATCTCCCCTCTTGTTAAACTTTATAATGTAACATATTATTTTAAAAAAAAATTAATTTAGCGGTCCCTGGCGGCACCCCAAACCCCACCCCTCTTAATCC